ATAGGTCAAATATAACATGTTTGTGCAAAAAAAATTTAAAAAATATCTTAATTCGATGCTTGGTCGACAAAGGGTTAATAATTACAGTAAATTAGTAGCTTTAGGAATATAAAAACAGTATAGTTAACAAAACTTTTCACACATCTATCAATATAATTATTCAATTATTATAATTTTTGTATAGTATATTTTAAGTTCAAAGCGTAACTATGAAACTATGAATATATTACACGTCATAAATAATATCTCAATGTTCTTTTTTTTTTGGTCCTGGAGGTGGGTTTGAACGCCTCCTCATCCCGTATGTACGCCGATGATTGTGATTATTTATTATTATCTGCTTAGCTATAAATAATTGCTATAAAGGTAACGAATAAGGCCACTGTATTCGTTATCTGCAAAATTTAAATATAGGCTTTATAATAGATTTTAACATGTTATTCGACATTATACTTGAATAAACTAATTATTGAAATATAATATCACTAATAAGACATAAAATACTAATGATTTTATTTTTAAAGCTTAATTTTGTTAATTTAAAAGAGGAAATATTTTAATATTTTTTATTTGAATAATTGTGTAATGTATAATTTTATATTGATTACCTCTTAGTAGTTAAGACTTAGCTAAACCGTTTACGTATATCAAAAACCATCAGGTACTCGAAAATTTTGGGTAATGGGTACTCACTACCCGAAAACGTTGATTACCTACAAAATCGGGTATTACCCGGATAAATGAGTACCCAGGTACCTGGGTATTAACCACATCAAATCAAGAGCACTAATTTATTATAGTGTAATAATATTAAATGTATACAATTATACTGTTTTTTTCTATGGGTAACAGTGCTTGGCGAGAGAAGTGGGGTGAAGTGGTGTATTTAAGGAAAGGTTATGATTTTCGTAATATTTGTAATCAAAGTTTCGTTTTTTGAAGAAGGTTGTGGTTTGAAATAGGTATGTGATGAGAATTTCATTTTAATGGGAGAGTTGTGATTTTCGTTAGGGGATTGAGGATGCATTGAGGGATACGATTGAAGAGGAGGGATGTAGTTTTGGCTAGACTTGTGTATAATAAGAGTTTTATTTTAAGGGGAAGGTCATGATTTGGGTAGATGTGACTATGGTGAGGGTTACTATTTAATTTTTATTAAACTTCTAATATTTTACAATAAAAAATAGTAATTAAATTTAAAAGTTGAGTTATTATTTGAACATATTTCCACTCTTCATCAACACAAAACTATTGACTTGACGGCATGCAACACGATTTGACGCAACCGGTAGTTCTTTCTTTAAAATAATTTCAAAAATTTCTTCTAAATTTAATTTGCGAAGGCAGTCATTTCATTGCTGATTATTAGGATTGTCCCGATTTTAGCAGGACATTCACGATTTTTAGATTTTTTTATGTTTGTATAGGGTATTTATGTGGGATATTATTTCCCGGAACATTATAAAATAACCATTTTATTTATTTCTAAAATTGTATAAGAAAAATGTTCTAATTTTTTTTAGTTGGCGAGTCAGTTTAAATTTTTATAAAAAACACTGGCATTTAAACATAACAGTTATTTGTAAATAGCATCTTATCAAGAAATACGTAGATAAGTATATTTTATACTATGTTTGTACCTCTACTATATATTTAATATAATATAAAAAAAATCACGTGGTGTTATTATTAGTCTTATTGCGTGGGGTATTGCCACTTAATCAGTTACGTGGTGGACAAGGGTGGCTGACCCTAAATAGTTGGTAAGAAGGCGAAGAAGAATTAGAAAAATATGTGCACAAAATTAATTTCTTACTACATTGTTCAGTAAAAAAAAGTATAAATACTAAAATATAAAATGATAGAATATTTTATTGCTTAGTTTCAACTGATTTTTATTTAATTCGATTTTCATATTTATTATTTTGAATTTGTCTCGCGCTATTTTTTTAAACCCATAAAATGGCTTCCATAAAATATTGTGCACAATAGTTATTGTAAATAAAAACATTTGTTATGTTGGTGTAATTGAGTAATTATTTTATGGTTGGTACTTCATTCATATCACACTTTATCATTAGTATTGTTTCTCACGGTTTTCAGTTATTTTTTGTTGCGTCGGAGTTTCACGTTTTCCTCAAATTATAACTTATTTTGTAAACTTCATATTATTTGAGCGAAAATCGTAATACTATTATTTTTTAGTTTAATATTAAAAGTTGATGAATTGTGATTCACAGTTATGACATTTAAATTACAGTCATCGTAAATTACATTTGTAAGAATGTTTGGTAAGTGATTTCTCAATTTTATTAATAATTATGATATTAGTAAGTGTATAATAAACGTATGTTTAATTATAATTTAGAATAATTACAGTTTTAATTTAAGTATATTTATATTATAAACTGAAAATCTGTTTAATATGTACATTCAACTCATGTTTTTGATATATTATGTAATTCCAGGTTCAGGGTCAGGAGCATTTTCTGGGGGTGCTGGTAATACGTCTGGTTTTGGTCAGTCAGCCTTTGGTAAACCTGCAGCACCTGCTGTCTTTGGACAAACTAATACATCGCTATTTAATCAGACAACACAACCAAATACTGGACTTTTTGGTACTACTGCTGCTGCACCAGCTTTTGGTCAAACACCAACAGCTCAACCGACATTTGGAGGTTAATCATTTTTCTTTCTAAAAAAAAGAGAAACTTAAATACATTTTTATATTAGGTTTCAACACTGGCCAAACATCACTATTTGGAACTCCAACTGCTACACAAGCATCAACTGGTGGAGGATTATTCAGCCAGCAAAATGCTTCAATGGTGGCCAATGCTGGAAGTGGAATATTTGGTTCAAGTAATACTAATACATCATTCGGACAATCAAAACCAGTTGGTACAGGATTCTCTTTTGGAGCTCCTGCTGCACAGCCAACTGGTAATTTATTTGGGACACCTCAAACAAGCACTGCTGGTACAGGAATGTTTGGCACTGCTAATACAGGTATAAAAAATTATTTTACTATAATCATTGTAGTTGTGTATGAATTTATTTAAACTTCTACTCATGTAAAGTGGATAAATTTTAAGAAGGTATAAAAATTATTGAAGTTTTAATTCAGGATTTAGAGCTTTTCACTTTTTTGTTGTTTTTATCACATTATCTGTTTAGTAATATTCTGAAATAAGTTTAAATGTTAAATGCTTGAAATTATTTTCAACATTTAAGACTTGGATTTATGAAGTATTCACATTAATTTTCCAAATTCAAAAAATTAATTTTTTATTTTATTAGTTAATGTGGTTTTTTATGAAGAAGACTATTATTCGATGAATATATTATTTATTTATTAACATTAAATAATGTCTATTGTATTTAATTTAATGATTATAAAACATTTTAAATAAAAGTATCTTAAGTAATTTGTACTTTCTAATTACTACAGGTACATTTGGCTCTACGCCTGGATTTGGGGCATCATCTGCCGGTGGTACAACTATAAAGTTTAACCCTGTAACTGGTACTGATATAATGGTAAAAAATGGTGTTAACCAAACAATTAATACTAGACATCAGTCAATAACTGTTATGAAAGAATATGAATCAAAAATATTTGAAGAACTTAGATATGAAGATTATAGTGCTAATCGAAAAGTTGGTCAACAGGTAATTTAAAAATTTAAACTTAAAATAATGAAATTAATTAATTTTATTATATAATATGATAATTATAATATAATAATACAAGTATAATTACAATTAAATAAATTAATAATACATTAAATGTATTATTAATTAATAATAATATATATATTAGTATACATTTTATACTTTTAAGATATATTTTAACACTAAGCTGTTACCCCTATATTTTACCCCTAGGGCGCGGTCAGCAGTGGATTATTTGGATCTTCTAAGCCTTTATTTAGTTCAACAACAACTACAAATACAGGTTTATTTGGATCCAATGAAAATAAACCACTTTTTGGTTCATCTTCAACAACACCAGGTATGGGAGGTAAGTTTTTACCTCCATTTTTATAATTTGTTTTATACAAGTTTAAATTATTGAAGAATATTTTTATAGACTTAATTATAATCATCGATTTAATTTCAAAATACTAAAATATATAAAATTTATCAAAATTCTGTTACATCTAAAAAAAAAATTTATCAATTTTTAAGTTGTTTTTAATAGGTACACTTATGAATTAATCCATTAATATGCATTATTAATCAAATAGGATTTGGGAATACTGGTACTACCAATGTTTTTGGTGCACAGAATAGTATATTTGGAAAACCACAGCAAACAACTCCAGCGTTTGGTGCCCAAGCACCAACTCAATCATTTGGTATGAATACAACTCAACCTAGTATTTTTGGAGCCAATACAGCCCAGACATCTAAACCATTTGGAGGTAACTTTTATCTTATTTTATTTTAGAACTGGCCGTGGCCCAAGTACAGATAATTTAAGATACAATATAATATACATGATAGTAACATAAATGTTGTATACAAATAACTTATAAGAAAATGTGTAAGAAGGTTTACATTAGTATGATGAAATTACAACTAATAATCAAAAGAGACAGGGTTCTCATTAGCAATGCGCATCATCATTAACATGGGTTGATTATGAGAATAGTTACAAATATTGCAAATAGGGATGTAGAAAGGATAGGGTAAGCGCGAATGACAGCTAGGAACTTTAAAATTTATTTGGCTTAATAATTCAGTGGAGTCTATTGAACCACCAATAAGTTTTCTTAAAAAAGTTAGGTTATCATTACTACGCCGATCCACTAGAGAAGAGCGAATTAATTTGTCAAACACTGGCTCATAATCGTGAGGTAAATGGTTATTTTTAAGTATCCAAGTGGTGAAATTAAGAAACTTGCATTGAACTCTTTCAGTTTCATTAATGTTATTTTAAAGTGTACAGATCCCACACAATAACTACATATTCCAATATTGATCTAACGAGCACATGGTAAAGACCTTTAAGAGAAGTTAGCCTAACCTAACCTATCCTATTTATAATTAATATGGCAAGTAAGTGAGTTATAATGTTAGTGGGCACAATCATGATGACTAAACATTCTTTTAATGTATTTTATATTCTTTAAATGTAGAGATCATTTTGAATATGCAAAACATTAAATATTAACAAAAATACTATAAACTTACAAGTAATTATTTCATATTGTAAATTATAGCAAATTCACTTATTTAAAATAATAATATTTATTAAAGATAAATAACATGAATTATTAGGATTAACAATAATTTAATAGGTAAATATTTTTACTAAAAAAGTTTTAAAAAACTAGGTATTTGGTAACTTACCATAAAGGTTTAAAGTCATGATAATAGGTAAACTAATAAAACCAAATAACCAGTTTTGCGTAACTTAAAACTAAAATATAAGTATTGACATCATAACTAGTTTATTGTATTATGATATTTATATGATTTGTTTAATGTAATACTTTGTAGTTAGGTATAATTGTTTCAAATCTTAGGCTATATTCATTCTAAATTTTTTTCTTTAATTTTTCTTGAACTATGGGATTTTTAGAAAAATACAATATTTCTATAATATTATGATATTTAAGTAGGAAGATTATATTTACAAATATTTTTCTGTATTATTACTTTTAAATGTATTATTTTCAATGTTTAATTTCAATTTGGTTATTTATGTATCTTCATGGAAAACTTTAATAAATTAAACTTTAATATTTACTATTAATATTGCTAAATGTTAATCATAATCTATAAAGACTTGAAATGAGACTGAAAACTAAAATTCTTGACCTTAAAGTACATCATTTTTTAAGTTCGACAAAAAACCAACTTTGTTTTATTTTGTAAATTTCATATGTATTATTTACTCAGTAATATTGTGTCTATCAATCATATTCGTTATTCTAATAGGATTTATAAATTTTAATAGATCAACTGTGTTTATGTTTACTGGATTTTTTTGTTTTATAACTAAACTATATTAAATTATACCACAATGTAGATTTGCATTTACAATTAATGTGATTTATTTTCTATATTTTGCTTAACATATTTAATGTCTAAATTAACTATTCTATTTAAGTTGCAGCCCCTCAAACAAATATATTTGGTAGTACTGCTCCTTCAACTTTTGGTACTCAAACAACTACAGGATTTGGTCAAACTGCTGGATTTGGTCAAACTAATCAGGTTATTATCTTATTTTTATTACTCAAGTTAAATGCACTACATACATTACTTTTTATTTTTTGATTTAGAATAATTTATTTGGTCAGAATAAACCAGGATTTGGTATTGGAGGAACACAAACAACTACTGGTTTTGGTTTTGGAACTAATACATCTACTAGTGCTAATGGTCTTTTTGGAAGTAAACCTGCAAATACTGGTTTTCAAATGACTACTCCAGCTTTTGGAACGAACAATGCTTTTGGAGCTACATCAGCAGCTCAACCAGCTACTGGTAGTTTGTTTGGTTCTAATGCATTTAACAAGACACCAACTACAACATTATTTAATCAACCAGCAAACCAACAAACTGGTAAGTAAAATTACTGTATATTTGGAATTATTCTAAATTTGATAAAGTATTGGGTTTTAAAAATCTGTTAAATTTAAACATTTTTGGGTTTACTTTTAACTAATAATCAAAAATATTTTGTAAATCTCAAAATAATAAACAATAATTCATTTTTATTCATTCAAATCATTATCTTATCCTTACAATTATTTTATTGAACAATAATTTCATTTTTCCTTTTTTTGGACTTTTCATTGTTTTTGGAATACTTGTAGTTTTAACCATTTTTTCTGATAAAATCCACTATTTTATTTTTATAATTTAATTAAATTGAATATTTGAGGAGCTATAAATTATTTTATTATTTTCTGTTCTTTTTTAAATGTATAAAATAATATTTTACTTTAGGTGTATTTAATAATGCTGCAAAACCTGGAGGATTATTTGGACAAGGAACACAAGGAACAGGAATTTTTGGTTCAACTAATACTAATAATTTTGGTACAGGATCTTCATTTTTTGGTACTAATCAACAAGCTGGTGGAATTGGACTTTTTGGAAAGTAATAAAATCAAGATCACTTTATCTCTAAAAACACGTGTACAGCTAAATGTTCTACTTTTATTATTTTCTTTTTAGTACAAACAATGTTCAATTAGCTACAAATCAAGTGTCACAAAGTAATCAAATTCAATTACAACTAGATGCATTAAAAGCAATGCCATATGGTGATTCACCTTTGTTTAAAAGATTTTATAAGGTACCTACAATTAAGATAAAAGTTATTTTGTTGTTTATTTATGGTACTATCTTTTTTTTTTTTAATAGGATGTGTCTAAAGTAGATGATTCATCTCTTGTGCGAACACAAAATGTAACACTTGAGAAGTTTGGTAGTTATAAGGTTTCTCCAATACCAACACCAAAAAGTGCACCCCAAGTTCGTAGAAATTTCCCACAATTTAATCGTAAATCTTTATTTGATGGACTTGAAGAATCTCCTCCATCAATGAAAAATCGAGAGAATAAAATCATAGATAATTCTTTATTGCTTAATGTTTTTTCACCAAGATCAGGCTGCAAAAAATTAATTTTAAAAAAAGACTCTAATGACTGTAGTAAATTAAATAGTGGAAATAGTATGATTATGCATACTAAACCTCTTGCAAAGTAATATATAATTCATTAATTTTATAAATAATATTTCATTTATTTATGATATATTTTCAGATTAGAGTTATATTTTTCAAATAAACAAAGTTCGCCTGAAAAAAATTCACAAAAACTTGATTTATCTATTAATGAAGAAAATAATACAATTGCTCAATTACAAAGCAATCAGCAAGTTAGTTTGAATACTTCAAAAGAGACAGAAGTCAATGATACTCTGAAAAATAATATTAATGGTAAGCAAAAGTACATTTTAGTATGTAAATTGTTTCTTTGAATTTAATAAAAAGATTAGTTGATATTAGTTAATATATATGAAATTCATATGAAGTTTATTAATTTCAAACTTAATATTTATTAGGTTTTTATTTTTTTTTTTTTAACTTTAAATATTACTGGTTTAACATTGTACCTGTATCTAATTTCCAAATGATTTCTAATTTTTTAAATAAATTATTTTTTAAAAAATAATAAACTAAGCCTAGAATTAATGCATAGTTTAACTGCAGTCACTGATAAGTACTGCAGTTCAATTTTGCCCGGCATTGCTAGATCAAATCTGTAATCAAATAATGCGTTACAAAAGACTAGCTCTTATGTTACTCTACTACTATATAAACTCATTGTCACCAGTGTCGGCTAATGTTTATAATTCAATGGCTTAAATTAGTAATCAGGAAAGAAGGGAAAATAAATAACACAATTTGATTGTTATAATTATATTTTGTTGAAAATATTTTAGATTCTGTTATTGATAATCAAGATCCTTTGATTGATCCTAATACTCCTGAAGCTGAAGATCATCCTACTGGAATGAAGTTAAGACGCATTGGATATTATACTATTCCACCTATGAATGAACTGGCTGAATTGGTTAATGAAGATGGATCATGTTTTGTTGATGGATTTACTATAGGTCGATATGATTATGGAAATGTTTTTTTTCCTGATCGTTTTAATGTTGCCGGGTTAGACTTAGACTCTATAGGTAAGAAATATTACAAATTTTATAGAATTTATTACATAATTAATTTGATAAAATATTTATTTTCTCAGTTTATCTATGTTTTACTAAATTATTTTTATACTTATTAATCATTTCTACATAATATTATTAAGTGTATATTTTTGACTGAAATCATTCTTAAATTCTTAAGAAGTACTCTAGAAAAATTCATAAAATTAAGAAAAAAAATTCTGTTGTAAAATATGAAGTTAAAATTGTACATTCAGTTGTAATAAACAAACAAATTATGCAGGATTAATATATATATGTATATATATATTTATAAACAAATATTGTTTAGTTATGAAATAAAATAAAATAATACACTTTTTTTTTTTTAAATTGCTTGAGTAAAAATGAATTTTTTCAGTTAAAAAATAATCAAATAATTATTAAATTGTAATTTCAGTTCACATAAGACATAGAGAAATTATAATTTATCAAGATGATGAAAATAAACCTCCATTAGGCGAGGGATTAAATAGAAAAGCTACTGTTACTCTGGATCGTGTCTGGCCTAATGATAAAACAACTAAGCAACCAATCACAAATCCTGATCGAATTGCTGCTACAAACTTTGTTATAAAACTTCAAAGGGCATGTGCTAAATTAAACTCTCAATTTGTTGATTATCGTTCAGATACAGGGTCTTGGGTCTTTAATGTTGACCATTTCTCAAAGTATGCTCTTATCGACTCAGATGATGAAGACGAAGAAAATGTAGTGGTTAATAATATTGAATCTAAAACTCTTCCAAAACCAATTTCACAAAAACCTAAACTTACAAAACCAGCAGAAAATCTAAGCCCAAAACCAAATGTTTGTATAAGTTTTTGAAAATATGAATGTTAATTTAACCTTTTATTCAAACACATTTCCATAGGTTATGAAACCATTATTAGATCTTTCTGTTGGTCTCGACAGGACTCAATCACCTAATCAGTATTTATTGAAACCAAATATGCAACTTTCAACAATTAATCAACTATCTAATGATTCACGCATTATGCATTATAATGGTATTAACCAGTTTCACACAAATTTATATAATTATTTTATTTAAATAATTATTGTTTAATGTAGACATATATTATTCTTTTAGATAACAATAAAGAAAATAGCATCAGTGTAACTGCTCAATTGTCACAACATATGAATTTACAGCCACATAAGATTCAATGTATGAAAGCTTCATTTGATGACATTTTTTATAATGAATTTGAGCCAATGGAACAAGATGATACTTATGGTAAAATATAATTAGTTAATGTTGAATAGAATCATAAACTATTTTATTAATATATTTTTACAGAACAAAAAGATAAATTTGAAGATAAGTTGGAAAAAATTTTGGAAACCATTCCAGAGTATATAATTAGTCCTAAACATTATGATGGATTTTCCAAGTCTAAGTCCATTATCACTCCAACAGATAATCAAGTGTCTCCAAAATGTTTCATTTCAAAACAAAGTAATATAAATTAATTAAGTATATGTAGTCTACAAATATTTATGACACTTTCTATAATCCTTCAATTTAAATTTTTATATTAAATCTTAAAGATAAAATTTATCTTAACTAAAAACATGTTTTGATAATATTAGGTAAATTATGTTTTTATAAATATTATTTTTTATAATTAATTATAGTACTAGATATTTATTTGTTTCAGTAATTTCAATTTTAAGATATAGTGCATCTAAAAATGTTATTATTTATTGTGAATTATTGGAACTCTTGATATGGTTATATTTTTTTATTAAATCATACAATTTAAGAATGCTAAAAATGAAACTAACTCTTAAGATTATATATATTGTTCAGAGTTTAACATTTAAATTTGAATTGTTAGTTAAACTTATTTTATTTTCCTAATTATTTTTCTAACATTTTATAGAAAAAAAAGTTCAAGTGATTGAAGTTTTAAAACCAGTTTTAACTGCTCCTGTAAGTATTTTTTTATATTTATTTAACATTTAAAAAAGTATTAAAAAAATAGCAATAATAAGTTATTAAGTAATAAATAATAAGTGTAATGATGCACATATAATATTAGTAATGATGGAATTTTGTGTTTATTTATGAATTATAAAATATAAATAGACAAGGTTTAATTTTAATTAGTAAATCATAAATATGGCTACCATGTTATATGCATTATCTAGATTTTTATTCTTATACATTTATTATTACTAAATTATTAATAAAATTAAATTTATAAAAGTAGTAATATATAATAGTTATAGTATAGTTAAATATATAGTAATACTAAATTATTATATTTTATCAAACAATTAATTGGTTATTTTTTATTGCAGCTTCAAGCTCAACGGTTCAACCTAAAATATGGTTCCAGTATTCGTATACCATTTGAAGTGAAATTAAATAACTCTTGTGAATCTAGTAAATTGGCATTGCTAGATACTTCATCACTAAAAATTCCGTGGTCATACAATTTATCATTCATTTCACTGAATACAAAATCTAAAGAAAGTTTTATGTCATCAAAAGGAATAGACATAAGTTACTTAGCAACAGAATTGTCTGGACGTGGAAAAGATGATTATTCTCCCACAGTTGTTCAAAAAATACAAATTTTAACTCCTCTTCCAACTGAGACATTCATTGTAAATCATTTAAGATAAATTCATTATATATTTATATTTATATTAAATATTAATTTAATTTTTTTTTTATTTAGGAATTATTAACAGAACATCTACAAATTTGTATGACAAATAGTAATTGTGATGTTGAAAAAAACTTTCCATATTTTTATCCAACTTCTGGAGTAGATGCATTACATTCACATTGTTATTTATTAGCACAATTTTCGGAACTTCCTGAAGAAAAATGCTATGCACATGTATGGGAATTGATTAAAGCGTTATGGGGCGATCCTGAAAATTTATTTACAAAAGACTGCCCTCAAGAACATGTATACAATATGGCTAGACGTCAAGCTGTGTCTGATTGGCTAGAAACTATATTGGAGAAGATGGAAGATCTTAAATGTACTAATGATTCTATATCCAAAAAAATGTTAAGACTGGTTTCAGCCCACAAAATTATGGAAGCTTGCGATTTAGCTATTTCTAATAGTGAGTAATTATTAAATTCCTGTTTTTTTTTTTATACAAATGTATTTTTATTTCAGATGAATTCAATTTAGCTATGCTATTAGCACAATTAGGCAGTGAAAATTCTGTTAGATGTTGCATTCAACGACAACTTTGGCAATGGTTCAATAGTAAAGCTGATTTATTCATAGATATTGACCATCTTAAACTGTACACCTTGATATCTGGTCAACCTTTATTCGATTCTAACCAAGGAATAGTAAATGTTTGTGAAAATTTAGATTGGATTAGAGCTTTTGCTCTGCACTTGTGGTAATTTTAGTAAATTACGATTTATTATTGCATTGAATTTTTACTACTTGATGTTAAATTTAATTATAGGTACATACAGCCTCCATCTGGTACTATTAGTGATGCATTGGATGCTTACGAAAGTTCATTCGAAAGCGATGACCCATATGCATGTAAACCATACTATTCACATAATGGTTGTACAATAGATAATAATGATATATTTGCAACATTTGATGTTTGTTACCATTTAATGAAACTCTATACAAATTCAGCGTATGAAATTTACAAAATTGTAAATCCTCTTTCACATACGCAAGATCCTTTAGATTATAGTTTTAGCTGGCTTTTGTATAATACATTACAGTCTCTAGGCTATACACAAATGACGGATACATATGCTAATCAGTTACATTCAAATTTTGCTTCACAATTAGTATCACATGGACTATGGCATTGGGCTGTATTCATTCTACTACATATCAAAGATGATCAATTGTAATATATTTAAATTACATTACAATGAATGAGTAAATTAATAGAATAATTATGATATTGTAGAAGAGAAAGCTCAGTTGAAGAGGTAATTGGAAGAAATGTTGATCTCCCTGAAGGTGATATTGAAGACATTATTCTTTCAGAGAAAGAAAAATTTGTAGTTGAAAAATTAAACATTGAACATGAATTAATTTACAATGCTAAGGCTATTTTAGCTGCAACATATAAAAAGTAAAATATTATATATTGTTAACTATTTTTTAAAATCATTTATTTTACTTAAAATTCTTATTTAATGTTTTTAATTGAAAATTCTTTAGGGATTTTAGTATTAAACAATATTTATTTATTTTTAAATGTTAAGGTATTTAGAAGCAACAATTTGTTACCTAAAAGCAAAACGGTGGGAAGAAGCTCATAATGTACTTGTGAGTCATTTACTTGCAGATTTCATTCTACAAAAAGGTATTAGTTCTTGAAATTATTTTGAAAGAATAAACTTTTTTTAATTTAAATTTTAGAAGGCAAAAACACATTGAAACAATTATTGAATTGGTTAATAGAAGGATCCAAGATAAATGATTCAGTACCTACAGTTATGCTAGATAGCTTAACTCTACTAGACTATTTAAAATTTGATGAAAAAGTAAATAAAATGACTTCTGAAAAAGCAGTAACATATATCATATCATTATGTGAGCGAGTATCATATTTCTCCGAAAAGACTATTGAAGAAAGGTAATTTATAAGTATTAAACATATTACTATATTACTTTGTTGGTTAATTATAGGTTTTAATAATAAATTTAATATTTTGAATTATATTTTCTATTGGTTACTTAGCAATAATTAATCTTTTATTATTGAAAAATTTTGTATTTATAAAATCATATATTTTTTAGAATGATTAAAACTGAAGTATCAAGTTCCATAGCTTTGCAAATCGGACAATTAATAACAAAAATTGAACCAGAAAATCGTAAGATTTTAAAATCTTTAGTTCAACCTTTGAACAAGTTAACACTTACTGAAGATTATGCATTAGATGAATTAGTACTCACAATATCTCATTGTATTTAAATGTATTTGAGTTATCTTTTTTCTTTTTTATTGAAATTAAATTTCTGAATTATATCCTGAATTTTAACCTTGAAAATATAATTAAAAAGTTGTAAATATGTATTATAAATATTTTTATTAATAGGTATAAAACAATTGTGTACCACGATTATGTTATTATATTAATATTTATAGTTAAATAAAAAAAAAAAATATGACAGAATTATAAACTTTGATACAAGCAACAATGAAATTTTTTACTAAAATAAAACATGAATTCATATCGTAATTAATAAAAAGTTAAATTAATTTTTGAAAAAGAAGCATTTATTAGTTTCCAATATTTCTGTATTTATAATTTTCATTGTTTAGCTTTAGCTGCTTGACGTCGTTTTACATCCCAGTTATAAACTCTGGCCATATTAACTTCTGTTGTAGTAAACTGATCCCTAATATAAATAACAAATGACAGTTAAACTTCTGCGTTAAATAAATTTTATAAATATTTACTATTTTAAATTAAAAATACCTTAGAAAATCGAGATCATCATCAACCTGTCCCATATTATTAGTAGCTAATTGTATATTTCTTGAAATGAGTTCAGTAGCATCTTCAAGATTATATTCTAGCATGACATTAGCCTTAAAATAAAATTGATATTGTAAGAATTTTTTTTGGTTTTTTAGTTAATTGATAACTAAAAATAATTTTAATTACACCAAGCCAGAGGTACACATTATCAGTTCCTGGTATATGTGCTTTAGCGTAAACATCATCGGATAATAAGAAATCTGTTTTTAACTGTTTTCCTTTATGAGCTTTCATTGTTTTGATCATATCCAATGTATTTTCTAAATCTGGCAATTGTGATTGTAATCTATATAGAAAAAAAGTTTAAATATAAATTTTTATTTAATAGAAAAATATAATGGCAACTAATTACAATTAAAAATGAATATTAATTGAATTATGCCATAGGATATTAGATCTCTAAAGTAATATAAATCCATAACTTAGTTGCACAGGGCTGCTGGGCACCACCTGAAAAGTAAATGGAGCCCTACAATTTAAATTTCAGAGTAAGAGGCATGTATTTTGACTAATGTTTCTCAAATTATAATTTATTCTACAATATTTGGTAAAATATAATATTTCATAATAAAAAAAAAAATAAAACTACTACAATTGACTATAAAAGTACAAATTAAGAATAATTGAAGCTGAGAAAAATATTTAAGATTCAAGTAAAACATATTCATTGGGATCAATATACCACATTGAGGTCCCCATACACTGTAGCGGTGGCGTTAAATTTGTACACACGTATTGTAATGGGAGTCCGCACACTGCTGCAGTAATTTGGCCGCGGTAAAATATTGTTGCTGCGATATTTTAAAAACCGCAGCATGCTTGATTTCACCGTCACTGCTCAGCAGTATTTTCAATTGACTTATCAAATATATACTAATGGTACCTATACTATCTAATATATATGGTGTACATTAGTCGACTAATTATTTCCTAGAAACTATTCAAGTTATAGTTTAATATACCATTTAACTTAATTAAAAATAATCAATAAAATATTATATATATATATAATGAATATGATATATAAATAGTATAAGTACTCAATATAGTATCTACTAACATACTATATAGATAAATCATCAATTTATTTATGACATAGGAATTAATTAATTAACTATAAAATTATTGTATGTAATGTCATTGATTATAAATATTTATAATCAATGGTAATATATAAATATATTATGTTTATACTGGATAAAAATCACCACTGTTACAATGTGTTTAGGTCTGCGATTTTAATATTGTCACCGCCACCGCGGCAGTATGTGGGGACCATTGAAGTTATATTTAATTATTTGTACAATATAATTTATTAAATAGATACACTAACATTTTGTTAAGATAGGGCCCAAAAGTATTATAGGTACACCTGAAATACAGGTTTATGCATGTATATGCTTAGGTACTAAACGGGGTAATAGGTATTATAACACAGAAGATAACAACACTTTATAATAGCCAGTCAAGGTTCATGACAATAATATGCATAGCTCATTAGACACTAGTGCTATAAACCATTTAAATAGTAGTTTTCTACCTTAAATAAGTGTCAGGTAACTTATGCTTGGTTTTAATTTAATGGATAAGCACAGAATAAGATAAATATGACTGTTAACTGTAGCACAATAAGATGTGCAAAAAGGAAATTCTATAAGCATTAATCATCAGAAATATTATGTTTGGATTACTAAACAGTTATTTAACTAATAGTAAATGATTTACATATGTAGTTTTAATGGATTTTTCAGCAAAGTCCCCTACCTTGGAAGGAATATAATTAGAATTAAATTAATGTTAAAATGTAACTGTGTAGTACCTTTTTCTTTTAGTTATTAAATTATATTCAAAAAATTTATATTTGCTATGCTGTTCATCTAATCTTTTGAGTACTTCTTCAACACTACTATTTTCTGATTTTTCCATAAACTTGTCAACATCATCCTGAATAAAATAATGAAATCACTTTTAAAAAATATTTTAATTATAAGGTAAATTAAAAACGTTTTTGTATATACAAACCACAAATACAGCCGACGGTATTCGAGGATTACTTTCCAGTTTGCTACTTTCTTTCTCCATACTTTTTAAACAAAGAAAATACAAGTGAAAAATAAAATAAAATTATATAATCTATAGTAATTTTGTCTAATAAAAATATTTGCAGCCGAACACAACCTTATGATTTAAAAAATAAATTTCCTTTTAAAATTCTAGAAATCACTGGTTCATCAAAAAATTAAAAACGTGATATATCAAATCGTTGAAATTAATTTGTTTCTTCCAGAGCATCGAATTATTCAATCAGTGCCGACCGTACGGTATTTTACTTTTTCTCCGTGTCTCATATGAGGTATGTAGTCAAGGGGGGCAAGGTATTTAAATTTTTTAATTTTTGTTTTATTATCTAATTAGTGATAAAGTATCTTATTGTTTTTGACGTTTTCTATCATATAGGTAGGGAATGTACACAATTTAATTATTAATTTTGTGTATGGTTAGAATGTTAGAACTTAATTTTACAGTATTCATTTTAATTAATTAATGTGCAACTTTAAATCAATAAATCCATTTATTTTATATAAATAAAATAAAACCATTTATTTGATAATTTTAGGTTACTTATAAAATTAAATGTTTCTAGCTTCTATAAAATAAATAAAGAACTATCAATTACTAAACTATTTAGTATTTACCAACTTTAAATATTCACATATAAAAGTCGAAACAGTACGTTGAAAACCGATGACTTAAGAGGGCGCAACAGTGAAAAAAATATGTAATTCACCTATCATAATATCCGCATAACATTTGTCGACTAAGTGTCGACCGTGGTACTCAACGTTTCAAAAAATATTTATTTTGTGATATTTTATACTACATAATGGTTGTGATAATTGACCCATGAAAAAGCCAAGGGGCGCAGATGCCCCTACTTGCCCCCCCTGCGGATACTCTGTACGTAGTCACTTTCGATAACCGTAATATAATTTTGACGACTTTCCATTTACTTGCTTTTGAAATAACATTTTTTTACCAACTATTGTTATTCATTATTTCTTATTGAACTGTTAAAATTGAAGTTTTATTTTTAAGTTCAGAAATATTTTAATATTCGTGTAATGTAATGATAAAGATGGTGAATTAATAAATTAATTTAGTAATTTTAATAGTTGAGTATAAATGTATTTCCTTAACGTCCTTAAATAATCGGCCAACGATAGGACTAAACAACCAGACGAATAGTTGGATCTACTACATTATAATACATGCATTCATTATTTATAAATTTATTTCACTTGGTATTCACAAATTAAACCTCCTGATTAGAACTTTTATAATACATAAACATACTTAGACTAATGTTTAATTTTTATATTATTAATGAAAAGGTTTATTGGGTTTATATTCGTATAATTAATTATTTATTTTAGTTTTTATTTTTTTATTTTTCATAAAAATAATGAACCCCATTAAAAATGTTTGTGTGAATGAGGCTCAGAGCCGTATTTAAGGGGTAATTCAAAGAGGAAATAGTCCCTCTGAAATATTTAAGGGGAGAACAATATTTTTACAGTGATTCTAAATAAAACCAAATTGATTTTTTCGCATTCTCAGTGAAAATGATTTATAAATAAATTAAAGTATATAAAAAATAAATTTTATGCCTACTATAAAATTATTATATTATTTAGGCTGCATCCGAATTGCGTGCTAAAAAATATGAGGACTTTTAGTCAACAATCGAATTGCGTGCGTAAAATTTTGAGTTTTCGACAACCTGCATAGCTGCACGTATGCTGTGAAAAGAACATTGAATTATTTGTAGTTTCCGACCGTCAGTCAGTATTCAGAAACACGACAAACGACCAACGACAAATGATAAAAATGAAAGTTAATGTAATGTACAGTGAAAAAAAAAATTATACATAATTAATGGTTATAAATTTAATTTCAACAAGGTTTTAAATAATAATACTCAGAGATGGGCATGCACAAAACGAATGTGAAATTCGTATTTTAAATTAAATGAAAATAGTGAAATTTTTTGAGCGTTTTAAATCACAGCCATGAAAAAGATAATGTAAATATTTTAATTCGACAAAAATTAAGCAATAAATTAAAACACAAGGCTCTGGATGATCCGTGTGAAAAGCTGTGTATATATACAAAAATAATTATAATTATACATCGAGAATTATGTGAAGGGGATATTGATAGATAGACACCATACGTATAAGAAAAAATATTCACTATGTACGGTCAAGTATTACTTCCAAGTTGCCTACAAATGTAGATGAACTTCATTTGGCTCTAACAAATTTAGGTGAGAGTAAAACAAATCGAAATGAAATATTTTTACTTATAAATAATTCAGAAAAAAATATTGCAGCGTTTTCTATAAAGACTAATCTGAACTATTTAACTGAATATGATGTTTTATATGTTGATGATACTTTTAATAACTGTCCCAATCCATTTTATCAATTATTCATTATTCATGGAGCTAAAAAAAAAATTATTCACCACTAGTTATTTTTTTTATTAACAGGCAAAACTACAGAAATATATAAAAATGCATTTTCCGATTTATTAGATAAAATTAGTGAATTGATTTGACTTTTACACCACGTATAATTTACTCTGATTTTGAACAAGCTATACACTCGGCAATTTCAGAAATTTTTCCAGAAATAGCATGTAAAGACTGTCGTTTTCACTTAGGTCAGACAATGTAGAGAAAAATTCAATCAATTAGGCTAAGTAAACATTTTAAAAAGAAATCAGAAATTTGAAACTTTTTAAATTGTTCTTTGGATTATAATTTTTAAAAAATTTGTAAAAAAAAGTTTACTATTGAAAATGTGCTACTTATATATTGATTGATTTTTATTTCTACCTTTAATTATCATACTAATTATTAAATAATTATTAAGTAAGATTGCGTTGATTGTGCTTTGAAAATTGTCAATCTGTAATCAAATGAATCAACTTAAAAAAATGTAATTAGGTACCTATCGTATTATTGTTCTGTGGTATTATCCGTGCTATCATATAACAATGTTATATAAATATCATGGATATAGATATTATTATTATATTATAGTAATATCATATAGTATTCCTATTAATGTTAAATGCTGTAAACCCATAGTGTAATATAATAAATAAAATATAATAAAATATAATAAATTACTATATGTGTAAACCACAGTACTCCAGATAAGACCGTGCTGTAAATTATAAAAATGATAGCTGTTATCTCATTAGTTTTATAACTTAAACCAAAGATCTTGTACCACAAAATAGATAATGTACTGTATGATATATAAATTGCTGTACTGCAAAAGAAGATGTACTTAATTTCATGTTTTCTAGGTATAATGTTATCTTTTTAATTAAATTTTTCAGATATTTTTAAAGATAAGAAATTCGATTTTTTAGAATTTTAGTATTTAATTATATTAATTGATTTTAATCAAAGAGTTGTTTCTTTTAACATTTTTTAATTTTTATTCTTTTATTTTATTGCCTTCGAATGGATATTTTTTTATATTACATATTTGACACCGTCTAAAAAATCAACGACTATCTTGGGCCATGTCTGAAAATTTAAATGTCAACATTGAAGCGACAGTGGATCCAGAGTTGATCCCATGTGTTGAATCGCTTGAATCAAGCCACAGCGATAAAACTGATCCTGATCATGTGGAACATATAATTCCTGATGTTTGTATTAATAACTCTATGGATATTATTGTACCCATTGAAAGTTGTGTTAAATCTAATTGCTTAATTTTGACCGAAAACAATGTTAAAATTAATGAAGAGGTAGAAGTTGTGAATGTTGAAAATCCAACTGTTGATAAACTATTAGATATCGTCATTGAAAATACTCTAGATCAAATGGGTTTAGATGCAACTGGGACTATGCATAGTACGTCTGTTATGTCTGTTCCTGATGTTCAAAATGAAATCATGGAAATCCATCCTGCTAGTGATGTTATTGACCATGAAGTTACTAATTTTATAACCGAAGAAGATAATATGACTGGTAAATTAAAGTTTCTTATTTTTAATTTTTTTACTATGAAAATATCTAGTTTTAGTGAAATTATTTCACAGATTTGTCTTCAATTGATATGTTAAAATCAATTGAAAATAATGATTCAAATGAATTTAATAATGAAGAAATACCTAAAAATGAAATAGTTATCAATGAAGATAATAACATTTCAGAAAATAATTCTATAAGCAAAGAACATATAGAAAACAGTAATATAGAATTAAGTTCTGAAATATTTCAAGAATCAAATGTTTCAAGTGACTCAAGTGAAAGACCCCTGAAAATAAACACTAGACCACAACGTCAAGCTGCTAAAAAAGCTGAAAATCAAATCAGAGTAATTGAAAAAAACCTATTATTATCATAAATGGTATTAAAAAATAACATAAATGTTAATTTAATTTATCTTTGTGTTAAAGGAAATAGCTAAAGAAATCATCAAGCCTTTAGATATTATTGATGAAAAGGTTATTGATTTAGTTGAAGAATTATCTTCTCCGCTAAAAAAAGTTTGCTGTCAATGTAACAGGGTATTTTTTTTTTTTATTAAAATTTATTGCCTTTATAAATCTACATAAATTTACAATTTTTGTAATTTTTTATACAGTTCCGCTTATGTAAATTTATTGTGAAAAGCCAAAAGTCTATTTATTTATGTCAAGAAGATTGTGTGGAGAATTATCGTAGACAATTTAATCAATGCATTCTTGAAAAGAAATGCCAGCAATGTCTATTAGTAATTTCAGAAATTGAAGATAAGAGTTATTCTTGGCAAACAAAATATTTTTGTTCAGTCGACTGTCTTGGTGAATATTATTTATTTATTAAAATAAGTTTACTCACTTAAAACTACCTATTTTATTATAGATTACATTATTGTTTTTTTACAGCTCATTATCAAAATACAATTTTGAATTCACATTGTGTTCACTGCCAGAAAATTATTAAATCAGAAATTGATTTTGGAAAATATTCTCGATTTATTTCTGGGAAAATATTACTATTTTGTGGGACTGCTTGTTCAGAAAATTATGAAAATAAGTTAAGTTTATGCCAGTTTTGTCAAAAAGAATTACTCAATAGTAATTTTGAGGTAATAATATTTTATAAAATATACAACATTTTTCGTATATTTGTTTATGATGTTTCTATTGAAGGAGTTCTGTTCATCATTTTGTAAAACTAAAGATTATGAATCAAGGAAAAAGCATGCTGAACCAGATAGTTCTGTTGTTGATTATGAGACAAATGATGTTACTCAAGTCATTGGTAAATTCTTTATTTAAGATTGTCTTTAAATCAAATATAGTCTCAAACATTTATACTAAGGATGAGTGAGAATCATAAATCTTGCTCAAAATATGTCAATTTCCAAAGTTCTGATAATTATGTAAATATTCCAAAATGTTTAGATTTAGGAAACAAAATAAAAATAATCCAAAATTAGTACATTTATATTTTCACTATAACTAGTAACTACTATCTTGAATTTTTTTTATATATTTGGCATTGGTTTATTGATGAAAAAACAAAACTAAATATACATTAAATTAACAAAATAACGAGGACTAGGGTAGATAGATTTACAATATACTCTATTATGAATGAATTTGCTATACATTTAATACTCATTAACAATTTTGGGTTATTATTATTATTAGGTCAAAATTGTTACAAGTTTTATTTAAAATTTTTTCTATTTAGTTTTAAATTTTTTTTGGTTTAGTCATAAATTATTGACAGTAATTTAGTATGTGTTTATTTTAATTTTAATAAAATTCAAAGATTATCTTAAATCCTGAATTTTGGGTTAATTTCTCCACTGTTTCATAAATATGTCTTTCTGTTTGTCTTAAATTTATACTATTATCAGTTTTTAGTATATTTATTTTATTTTATTACAGATAAGTGTAATGTTTGCTTTTATAAAATTAATTCATCAACAAATGAAATTCAAATAATTAGTAATACAAACACTAAATTCAAATTTTGTTCAAATGAATGTTTAAACAAATTCATTATCACAAAAAAGAGAACCGTTTCTTGTTCTATATGTAAAGTAAGTTAATTTTATTTGGGTAAGACTAAACTGTATTGTAAACTACATGAAGTATTTTATAGAACACTTAGTAAAAGTAACTAATTCTGAACAAAGCCTGGAATATATTGGTTCTTTAATAATTATATTTTTTTTTCTATGATCAAATTTTTTAATTGTATATCTGCAGTCTGCACCAAAAGTTTCATATTTTATTTAATTAAAAATTAGACTTTTTTTTTAAAAAAAAAACAATTTTCTTATTATTGAAAAATAATCTTGAAAATAATATAAAAGTTTAACTACTTAGAATTGATTTTTTTTTTTTTTTTTTTGATAAATCAAGCAAATTTAAGTAATAGCTCAAAAAATGCATTTGAAGTGCAATAATTTATTATTTTTTTCAAATTGTCTGCAATTAAAATAAGATAATGACATCAAGAATGAATTATGCAAGTTAAATACTGGACTAGACAGAAATAATTAATCTGATGGTATCCTTGGTCGTTATTTTATCTTGGACTTATTTCTTAAATAGCTTTAACTAATACAACAAAATACTCTCAAAAGTAGTATGTTGTTGAATTTTTAAAATATGTCTCAATTTTTTTTTTTTTTTTGTAGATAAAAAAGTTCAGTTTTGACATGATTTCTTCCAAAAATATTTTTTCTAACAATACAGTGTTTACATGTTCTTTAAACTGTATATATCGGCAACAAGAATTACCACAATCAAAGTCAAAAAAGTATTATTAATTACATAATTTTTAGTCTAGAATAATATAATCCTTACCATTAGTTAATTAAATTAAATATGTACGGTTTATATTATAATTATTTTTAGAGTTACTTGTGATAAGTGTGGTTTATTAACTCAAGCACGCTATAAAAATGTTCATAACGGAATTACCTACAGGTTTTGTTCTCAAAATTGTTTTAATTTGTTTCAATCCAACAAAAAGAAAAAATCTAAATCAAAAAATAGAAATGGTAAGTATGCAAAGAAATGAAAATTGATTTAATTAATAAACAAATAAGTATTTACTTTAATAAATAATTTTGGTTTTAATGTAATTTTATTAGAAAAACAATCATCAATTTTACGAGTATCCACTAGGCAGTCAGCTCGTAAAGAAGAAGATAACTTATCTGATGTAAATGAAAATTATATATAATTTATAAAATTTTTGTATCAAGTAACCATTATTAAATTGTATGTATTTTTTAGAGTGATGGAGTACACAATTCTTTGCTAAAAACTTCTAAAGCAAAAAATAAAGTTTGTAGAAAAATAAGTTACATAGATAAAAATGTACCATGTAAAGTTGATAAAGAAGTACAAACAGGTAGAAAACATCAGTTTTATAAGTTTTTATAAAACGGTGTGATTACTTATTTATACTTATTTATTTTTTTCAGATCAGACCGGTAGTAAAGGAGTGATAATACCAGTTCCAGTACCAGTTTACATTCCAATGCCTGTGCATATGTATGTTATGCCTTATCCAGTACCGGTGCCATTCCCTATACCTTTGCCAATTCCAATTTTTATTCCTACCACTAAAAATACTACTAAAGGAATCATGAAGGATATTAAAGTAATCCAAAATATTTAATTAATTATGTCAAAATACATTTAATTGAATATTACATTTCTAGAAAATAAGAGAAGAAACACCAGATGATCCATTTGAAGCAGAACTCTTGTTGATGGCAGGAATGGTAGCTGATGTTGAAAAAAATGCCAACAGTTCATCATCTGATAGTGAAAATGATATATCAAACAATAGTAATAAATCTATTTTGAATTGTAAATTAAATTTTTTTGTATAAAATATGTTTTCTAGATTACAATGATGATACAAAAGTTGTTTCATCAAGTGCTCGAAATCATAATTCTTTTGGAGATGATGTTCTTGCAATGGCTTTAAATATGGCAGGAGCAGATACAGAAAGTCTTGAAGGGCCAGATGAGATATCTACCATTACATCTAATAATCAAATGATTGATGACGTTGAAGCAAATTTGGTGTCTTCTACTATTATGCCTCAAACACCTGATCCAATAGAAAGTATGTTTATTGTTTTAAGTTAAAAAAAATTATATTATTAAGAAAAAATCTAATATTTTAAAGATATAACTCAAGAAAACATGATATCTTCACCTCAAGATATTCTTTGTCGTCCTCCAAGGAAACGAGGACCTCGCTCACAATCTCAGCGTAGCTCAAATTCAAAACGTTCTCGTAAAACTGAATATCCACAAACTTCATGTTTCCAATCATCTGAAGGGTTATTACAACAAGGAATGCAAAATCCTCTTTATTCCATGCCTATATCTATAAATCAAGCTGATATAATCAAGCCAGATGCAAACATGTGCCTTAAGTACACATTAGGAGTTAATGCCTGGCGGCAGTGGGCTTGTATGAAAAGTATAGAATTTGAAAAGACATTATCTAGTAATGTTTGTACTGTAAAAAAAACAAACATATTTAAGTTAGATCTTCTACAGTTAACTGCTAGTGAACTGAATTATTGTTTATGTTTGTTTGTGAAAGAAGTACGCAAACCAAATGGAAATGAATATGCACCAGACACGATTTACTATCTTTGTTTAGGCGTTCAACAATATTTATTTGAAAATGGACGTATTGACAATATATTTACTGATATTTCATATGAACAATTTACTAACACTTTAAATGAAACAGCTAAAAAATTCCCTGAGATCTATAACGATACAAGTAATTTAAATAATTTTTAAAATATTACTTTTGTATAATAATAAATGTTTCATTACAGAATTTATTGTTACACGTGTTGAAGAAGAGTATCTTTGGGAAAGTAAACAACTAGGAGCACATTCTCCTTATGTATTATTGTGTACATTAATATTTTTCAATACCAAACATTTTAATTTAACTGTAAGACATATATAACCATTTATCATTATTATCATGAATTAAAAATATTGTATGTATTATTATTTAGAGTGTTGAAGAGCATATGCAATTGTCATTTTCACATATTATGAAACATTGGAAAAGAAATCCTAACCAGCCATCAACATCTGGAGTTAAAGCACCAGGAACTTATAGAAATGTATTGTTGCGCTTTTACCCTCCACAAGCTTCTATTGGTATGTATGATAAATATTATACAGTAATTTCTCGTTATCCGTGGAGGTTACATTCCAGCAAAGTTACGCAGATAACGAGACCTTAAAGCAATGTAAAAAAGGAAGTTGGGTCATTTTTTTTTTATTTTAAAAATCACAATAATGCTAATAAATATTTTCTACAGTTACGTAATATACATATTTATTTAATGAATAGGACCACTTTCCATAACACTGCGTCATATTGTTTTACTATTTTTTGTACTACTCGTAGAATAGATATTTTTATTTTGTATTCTCTATCAAGTGACAATAAAAAGTACAAAATACTAAAATAAAGTTACTTTTTAATTAATCCAAAATGTCTTTAATAGCAACTGATAACTGAACAATTGACAATTATTAACCATACATTTGTAAATACCTTATGTGGCTTATTTGTAATAAGTACATACATAGTTGTATATTTATACTTCGCTACATAATAACAGTTGTTTACAAAAATGAATCTATTAAATTATCTACAGAGTTTTTATAATATCGATGAGACATAATTGTATAACTAACCTCAGATAATCGAAAAACCAGACAAAAATCCATGGATATCGAGAGAATACTCTATATTACTTTACTAATAATGAGTAGAGGTAAAGTAATTAAAAATAAAACTAAAATATCTTTAACTGTTTTGTTTATCTATAGACTCTCCCAATTCTCGTAAGAAAAAAGTATATGAGCAGCACGAAAATGAAGAAAATCCATTGAGATGCCCTGTAAAACTGTATGAATTCTACTTATCTAAATGGTTATTATACAGTTTTTAAAGCAATTTTGAATGAAAGTGCTTATATAATATTGTTATATAGATGAATATATGTACATTTTTTTTTTATTCAACAGCCCAGAAAGTGTTAAAACAAGAAATGATTTGTTTTACTTAACACCTGAAAGATCTTGTGTACCTGATAGTCCTGTGTGGTATTCAACATGTGCATTGAATAAAGAATCACTTGAAAAAATGCTCAATCGAGTTAAAATGGTAAAAGAAATTAATGTAGCTTTGTTATCATCGTAGATGAATTTGATTTATAAATTGTTATTTGTAAAAGGTTTGATCGTTAAGACTTTTCTTCATGTCATATTAAACTTTTATAGTAAATCTGTACAGATTTATAAATGTTAAATATTAATAGTAATTTAATTGTAATAAACATTACATTAATTTGTAATAAAAATTATATTTTTAAAATATTCCCCTATATGATATGTAACTTTTATTTTGTTATTTAAACTTATTATTAAATCCTAATTTAATTTTTATGTAAAAAAAAAAAAACATAATTGTTAATTGTACCAAAAATTTTAAATTAAATTGTTGATGAATTTAAAAATATATTTAATTATGTAATAACATTATATTATCTTGTAATCAAAACGTATTTTTAGAACTTAAAATTTTCATTCAAATAAATTAAATAAAAACAGCTGAAATATACTGGTTTAAAAATTATTGGTTTTTTTTATCTGATTTCTGAAAAAAGTATTTATTGAAAGAAACTACAAATTGCATGATATGAAACTAAATTATGTTATTTAGAGGTATATAAAAAAAGCTGAGAAACTTGAATTTCTTATAATTTTTCTACAATAAATCAAAAATTTCATATAAATGATACCTCTTCATTTGTTAATGAATTTCTTTATGTATTTTCGTTGTTATTGGATTGAGGATATTATTTAACTATTTATACTTTCTATTTTCTACCAAAACTTGTCCTTTAGATTTTATGTGATTTAATAAAAATAATTGTGGCTCATCAATCGATAACCAAAAACACAAATATATTTTAAAAATATAATTTTTCGAATTTTTAGATGTTTTTCTGTATCTATAATCGAACATTTTTTAACGCCGATTATCAACCTCTGTGAGGATACTTATAGAATCTGTTTTCTTAATTTAATGAAAATGCTTTCTTATCATACTCTTAAATAAATATTAAGTTTGCAGTTAAATTATTTGGCTACCAATTTTGTGTTTTTGACTTATGTGTTATTTGATTGATTCTCAAAGGACAAACTAATTATTTATTTTTCTAGTATGAAATTTAAAAATTAACCCAACTTCATTGAATTAGCGTTTAAGATCACCTTTCAACTGTAATACATAAATTGTACTATAGGTATGGTAAAATTACGTTATTCAAATATTTCCAGTATAATTTTTTGATGCTAGTATAAGTTTATCAAAAAACATTAGGTTAAAAAAACAATACTTTTTTAATAACAAATTATAAGAAACAGTACGTTTATTTCAACGAAAATAAATATAATATTGCACATCATAAATTATTAAAACTACAAACATAAAAATTTCAGGCATAGATATCATTTGTATGAATTTTGCCAAATTTGTAACAAAAGTATTCCCGAATGGAACCTATAAAAAACTACTAGTGGCAATGATATCCTGGACAAGAGTCCCCAGGACAGTAACCCCATAAAACGTAATTGCCGTTCTTGACTTATCCAGCTCTGCGTAATGAACGAATCAAACATCCACAAAGCAATATTGCTACACAACAAATAGGTGATAATCTGTCGGCACAAACAACAAAATAGGTTATTTTAATGTATTGTAAAATTAATTGAACGTTTTTGTCATCTAATTAGATAAATTAAGGGACATCGTTTTAAAATGCTGCTGACAGCTGTTATTTTTTAAAATAACATTGAAATTTAATTATATTTTATAATTTATTTCGTATAAGTACTTACACTGAATATTAGAATAAACTCAATAGTAAGTCATACTGACTTATGGATGCGAACCAAGACGACTAGGTATGAACACAACAGAACAAAGACACAGTATGTTTAAAAATAGGATTTAATGGATGATAGGTGGGCCAACTTTAGCTGTTAACACTGGTTATAATGAAGTTGTTCAATAAAGAGCTATTGGAGGGAACAGAGATGCCTTTAGTTAAAAGTTACTAGATATTAGCTATTAGAGGTCAGAAGTTTCAATAGCTTGGAAATAGAACTCACGGAAATGATAATAACATAGTTCAAGGAATTATGTCCTGGAAACAAAAAAAAAGGCCATGATAATAGAAAAAAGAAGGATGAATGTGATGGAGAATCTTGAAAAATAGGAGTAGACAGTTGGAAAAATATAATTTAGGGTCGAAAGAAGTGGCGTGAAGTTGTGATGGTGGGAAATACCTTTGTGGAGTAATATAAGTCAGGAGAAGAAGAGGAGAAGTACGTTGATCACTGTAAAAGTAATATAATATACATCATTAGAATTCTTGCTGCTGTAGTACTGTTTTTGTATGTAGTATAAGATAAAGTCGTTTACTGCGCATGTGCTCGATTTTTCTCAGCGACGGAGTGGATTTTATTTCGGTTTTCATTAACGGATTGAGCGTTACACGGGAAAGGTTTGGATGCATTATTTATAGTTAGAAATATTGTTAAAAAACGAAGTTCGTAGTTCAGAAAAACAATCGTAATCAGTCGATGTTACGATAAAGCGCAATTATAACGTAGGTAAACCTATTGTATGTTCGTCTTTAAAAAATTATCTAAAAAATAAATAAAAATATCTAAAATTGTCTATGTTCGAAAAAGGAACGCGTCTACTTCTGTAGTTGCCAGTATGTTATATTATAGTTATTGATCGTATCAACTGTACCTGACGCCCTGGTTTGGTGAATAATTGATGCCTGGACCAAGAGCTCCTCCTGTACGTTTCTGCTGTCAGTGAGCTCTGGACGGCTACTTGCACGAGTTGCAGCACGTTGACGGCGGTCAACATGGTGTCCACTTTTTGTTCTGAGCTGCCAGGCGTTGAGGTCGCTGCGCCGACAGCGCCCACCATTATGCTGAACGTCGCGTACAGGATGATGCCGGCGCTGGACACCGTGGCCAACATGGAGTCCAATGTGGCCAGCCGGTTGCCGTTGTGGCAGAGCTTGCGCACCTGATATAGGCCTACGCAGCCCAAGAGCGTGCCAGTTGACAAAATTGCGGCCAGCGTGGTGGACGTCATCCAGAACAGCGTGTCCGACGCGAAGTCCGTGTCATCTTTGACCACCAGAAATATGATAACCACCACGATCACCATGACCAATGTCAACAAGCCGAGGAACAAGCCCTTGTTGGCGCCCGAGAAGCTCGTGCCCTGAGACACGTACAGCCGACTCAGTTGAGCGTCCTTCTGGTCCTTGGACATCGTCAACGGCTTCGGCTCTCGTTTCGACTGTTTTGTTTGAAAAACGCCCACGTTCTGTCCCATCACGTACGTCACTCCGGCAGCTATCAAACTATACACAAATACAACATGGGGTACGTGTACGACATATATAGATGTATAAATAGTCGGTTCTTAAGGGAAACAAATAAAACAATGTTCGAGAAATCGAAATCAATTCGAGACGTCCGGTCTTATTCATTGTGTTCATTGTTTTGAGTGCAACGAGAGTTTTGACGGGAATACAACGTTATTGGAGTTAGTGACAGATGGAATTTATTCAGATTATTATTAGTTAACGTAATTGCATTATGAGATGCTGAACAGTTCCTATATGCTCGGACAAATAATATATTACGGCTAATATCTATTTCAACAAGTATTTAGTTGTGTGAATAAAAATAATAGTAAAAACGCGTGTCTAATATCGATATTTTGTTTTCGCATCCTTTGTAATTCGTTTAGCTACATATGTACCATATTTGTGTGCATTGCACACGGTCGGAGCGGCATACATTTTAGTTAATTTCCGAGGACAAAGTTGAATAATTTTTTTTTTCGTTGTGTTTCGTATAAGTTTTAAATGTTTGATAGCCGTTCTATTCACGTATACTCAAATATGGGTTTACACTTATATTCAGATTAATATAGGCGATTTTATCTTCTCTTGTCCCAATAGATTACACGCATGTGTAAGTGTTAGATATTTTTAGTTTAAAGGAGTATATGAATTTCTACTTTCCAGTAGTTTAAGAGATACGATTCTGATTATCCTCTTTAATCACAATTAACTTTATGTCTTTATAGCTATCGGCTATCGTGCATATAATTGAGTAGGTTTTTTAAAGATCTGCGCCGTTGACCGTTGAGTACCAAAAAAATACATTAGGTATCTTACCTAAACTGAACGATGAACGGGTAAAGATATGGCATGGATGAAGTCAACAATTGACCCAGCGAATTGGTGTTTAGACATTGATGGAGTGTTACTACTTGTGCCACATGATTTTCGGACACCGGCTGGTAGACTGTATTTTTCAATGTCCCGTTATAATCTGCAACGCACAACAAACGAGATCATAATTATACTAGAATTGCTATATTATTCGACATTTTGAAATAAGGCAAATGCCAAAGGCATATACGAGTCTTACACTCATATGCATATTAATAATTTACACGTTATCGGCTTAGAACTAAACGATTAGCTTTATGTATAGGATTTAATCAAACTTAAAGGTTTGATCGACACGTTTTATTGGCTACATCTCATAGAATTATAGAGAATTGATTTTATATATTTATTTTAAAGCTGTTTGTATAAATATAGTGTTTTTTTTGGGACCGCTTATACCAAGTATTGTAAATATCATTTACTTTAATGTTAATAAAAATTAAAGAAAAAACTAAACCAGGTAAATACATGTATATATGCTGCGTGTGTAATATGAAAGTAAATCGTTTTTATATATATATTTTAACTTATGTTAATAGTAAACGTATAATATATATATATATATATATATATAGATTAGTAATGATTTTTCATTAAATGAAAATAAATTGCCTGAACTTTGTAAATCGTGTAGAGAAAGGTATTGTACACAAACTTAATATAAATAATTTATATATGAAAATGTTATACAAATTAATTTAGTTCATGTACGTTCTTACGAAGAGGGATATGGGGGATGGATGGCCCTATTGCCCTTTTTTTTTAAGTAAGATGGATTTTCATGATTAACTGATAAGTGATATTTTATATTTTGATGAAAATTAAATAAATAAATACTCGTATTTTTTAACTCTATATAATTTTCTATGCGAATATGCAATTGTTATACAAATAACAGATTACAGACCACAATTACAGATTAATATCTGTAATCTCATATTATATCGATGTAAAATGTAAACAATAAATTAGTCTCACCATTGATTTTATAATATACATTATATATATTATAAAATCAATGATCTCATTATACCATCGATTACACAAGTGATGACATATTTCTGTTTATTAATTGTTTTTTTTGCGATTTATATAGTGCATTGACGAGTTACGACCGATGATTGCTTGTATTTTTTATTTTTGATCAAAATGACATGAAGTAATTCAAGTATATCAAATTTTTTTTTAAAAAATTAAAAATGAATTATCATAACTTCATATTTTTGAAAATTTGATGTCATTCATAGAATCGTCTTAATGGCTTAGCATCGTTGAATGTCCACAGGGAAATTCCAATTGATGGCAAAGAAGTTCTTGATATAATAGCTCAAAAATCAAGAAAACTCGATATTATTTTATAAATTTAATATTTTAATTAAGAATATAATATTTTTTAATTTTCATTTAATATATGTTGTTTTTATACAAAAAAGGGGGTGCGAGGCTTGGTCCTCACGGCTCACCTTTTAATACATTTTAATGGTTACAACTTGTTTGCGCACATTTACCTTTTTTACAACTCGTTTGCGCAAAAATGCACAATTGGATTGCGCACATATATTTTGGCTACCTGTGACGAAAATCCCTAATGTCAGAACTCGTTTGCTTATTATCGTTGATTATTTTACTCCTCGTGATTATGAGAGTTTGTTACTTTTATTATTTAGTTTGAGTTATTAACAATAACACTCACAGGACATTTTTTCTTAGTGCATCTAAAATTTGAATATTCACTCATTAAAACACGGTATTCACTAAATTTATAATTATCAATATTAAAACATTGTTTTCCTCACCGAGATTCAAAAATATTAGAAATTTCTACGTCATATTAAAGTTTACGTCACCAACACACTAGTCACCAATGTACCATCAATATCCATAGTCCATACCTACTGAAACTTTACGTGTTATATGTGTGGATGTGTCGTTGTACGCAAACGAGTTATTTATTTTCAGGTAAAAAATTTTGAATGTGCGCAAACGAGTGCAGTGCATTTTAACCTCTCCACCAATAAATAATTCTGAGAACGCCTCTGATTTAGTTTATACATAATATTATTCTGTGTGTACGTTTATAATTTAGCAAGTTATGTTTTTGCTGTTTACAGTGTGGGAATTATAATGTTTTATATTTTTTATCATTTATGTATAATTACTCAATATAAATATTTAGGTACCTGCATTAATATCTCGTGTGTGTCTTGTTGTGATAAACCTGGGAAATCCTCGCAGCTGTAAGGGTGTAGGAATGTCAGATTCATAAGTCGTTGTCGGCATACCTATAATGTTCGATGTTTGTGCTAAATGGATGAAGTAAATCCATTCAATACCACTTTCCCAGATTACTAATCGCACCCATAAAGCAATGTTTGTAGCAGCTAAATGCATGAATCCGAATCTGGCCGCAAGGCCAAACTTTTCTACCAATACCTAAACATATACATGGTGAGTTAAGATACATTTTCTATTTTACTACTTTATAACTGTTTGATCACAGTGAAAGGATTTTACAGTAACAGTTGTTAAAATGATTTTAATTTAGTTTATATTTAAACTAAAAACTACGCTGTATATTATAGAAAACGTGTTGAATGTTGTTGGAACAATTATATTGCGTAAACATCTCATAATACACATGTTGTAAACTATTTAGGCAATTTCTAACAATAAAACAGATCATTTATTTTTCTTAGACTATACATGATGTTACTTTAATCTTTTAACAAGTGGTGCGTGATTCCTGTACACGATGTTCACCGTCATGGATCATGGTTGAAATATATATATATATATATATGCATATATATAACGTAAACGGATTTAAGAATCGTATGAACAAAATTAATTTATTATAATGTCACGTTCTAAAATCTCCAATGATATAAAGTAAAACAACTCAATTTCTTAAAAGGGAATTATTAAAATAATAATAATAAATGTACTTTATTTTCTGTATTCTATATAACCTCTATCTTCATCTTCTACATTTTATCATACTTATATCAGTTTTATTTATTTATATTTACTTCTATTTTGCCTAACTTATATCCATCGTGCATTGATTGATGAAGCCGGTGACGTGTTTGAGGAATCTAAGTCATATGTATTCATACATACTATACAGTCTCTGCTTATAAATTAATTTAAATAAATTAAAATTTTATAGGTAACTTAAAAATAAGATTCAGGTTTTCATATGTTTGAGTCCATTAAATTAAATTAATTGGACACAACCTATAATAATACATTTGTTTTCATCTAAAATTAATTTTCTTTTTCCTCTCTATATCTTTTCCATTATTTTATTCTACTTTCTTCTTTCAATGTACATAATATACTTAATATTTATTAGGTAACTATTGTTATTTATGATTAATTTTATAGTTCTAAACTTCCTACATTTGCGATATGAATTTCGTTATATTTAAAAGTAATTGCAATTGTATTTTATAAATAAGTATTTTAAAACCAATTTAAGTTAAATATTTATTAACGATGATAACGAATTAGTGAAGATAAAATTACCTGTGAGTTTATGAAAAGAAAATGCATTTGTAAAAATGTAAATAGTCCGTGTAGAACAGGATGCACGAATATGACATCGTTTAGACAGCTTATATCCATCATTGAGTACATGGCCATTTCTAAGCCATTGAATACGAGCGTTCCTAAGCCAAACACTAAAAACAATTCATTGTTAATGTATAAATGTTATTAAATTAATATAATTTAAAAATACGAGGAATTAAAAAATATGTTCAAATAAATTTATTCATTGGTAAATTTGAATAAGATTATAAAATAATTATATATTATACAGCAAACATAATTTATGTTATCAATTAATAAGAAAAAAATCATATTATATAAATTCAATAACATTTTTTCCAATATAATTAACACTATTGTTAAACTTACCCAAAGCTCCGACTCTCAAATAGAAACTGGTATCTGAAGTTTTCGAACGTGATATATGTGCTCGCTTTAAAGAGCTGAATTGCTTCAAAGAATTAAAGCGATTTAATGTAAAGACGCCTGGTGATGATGAGCCAGATGTAACGATTTCAGATTCGTCTGACGTTAAGCTAACACACGAATCGATTAACACCCATATGTAAATGCATATAATCACGGCTATACTTCCCAAGTACAAGTACATGAGGTAAATTCCTTGAATTGATAATAATTGTACAGGATTGTCCATTACTTCTATTAAACAAATGGCAAACATAAGGATAACCAGCATTATACCGTATAATGAACTGAGTGACACCCAAAAATGGTGACTGTAAAAAACACCAAAAATATATATTTATACCACAATTTGTCAAATGCAAGCCGTTAGCGATTATCGTTTATCATGTACTTACAAAGATTCAGTGTGTAGAAGCATGTCAGACCCTTTACTTGTTAAGAGGTTTATTAGGGTTCGACTGCTTTTGAGTTTTGGTTCTTCTAAACCTCTACACATTTTAGATGATCTTTGCACTAATTTACGATTTATAGGTGAAAAATTATCATCTAGACTATCTTGTTCTGTTAGTTCACATATACTATGCACTAAAAAAATAAATTATATTAATGTAATTCGTCGGATATTGTGGATACGTTTTAAGTATTTAAATATTGATAGTAAAATAGTAAGAACTAAATTAAAAATAACAAGCTACACATTATAAAATCTGTTTTATGAGATAAAATAATTAGATAGACCGATGAGTTTTTTAAAAGGTGGAGACGTCGCAATCGGAAAAATATTTTTAACAAAGATTTGTCCGGTCTGAGTACTGTCTGCTATATAATGTTTATTAAATTGTTATATATTTTCACAGGAAACAGAAATAAAATTTTAACTCAGTAAATAAATGCAACATTATTTTTAGAGTTTTTATTACTCCTATGAAACTACTGAGAAATCGAAGAATAATATTTTGAAAGTAAATATATTTGAATATCCAATTTCATGAAAACTTGTTCGTGAACTGTTGAGATATTTTAAATATTCAAAAACGTTTTAAAACCAATAAACTCGCATTGTTAGTAATATATTTTAAATTTGTCATAATTCAAATACTATTATCAAAATTCTAGTCTTATTTAATAATTCATTTTTATCTATTCTTACGACAGTCAAAATAAATTTATCTAAAAGGATTCCGTAATTCAGGATTTAGAAAAAATATATTTAAGTAAATTTTTATTTGTAGTTAAAATAGGTTTAATCCTCATAGAATAATGAGTGTAAGCGCTGAAGTTGTTTATTCCATTTAAAAACTATAAAATAGTACAAGTATATCATAGTAATAATGACACTAGCAGCAATAAGTGCTTGGTTTTCCTTTTCAGAACTAACATCCAAATAATTGCGTGTGTTTCAGTCGTTCCAGATTACTTGTAACTAAATACATACAATGCTGTCAGTATAAAATTTGTGATGACATTAAACTATGCATTAGACAGGTTGGTACCTAGTTCTGTCGTTGTATGTAGACTACGTGGTAAAATATAAGTCATATAGAATAATGTTTAACCATAAACAGAGATTAACTAGACCATAATAAATAAATTGTCATAATCATAATTACCTATATTTTTCAATTGTTGAATTATATATAATATACCAACTATGGTAAAGAAAACCTATTCATAATTTGTTTAGTTTGAAAATATATTAGTTTAAATAAAGTATATTTTTATCATTTAACTACTTATATATAAATATTACCATTTATTTATACATATATTAATATAAGATTCTTCCAGTTTTTATGTTGTACGAAAATGTAACTCTGAAAGTGAGAAGTATTTCTAGATGATTACTGATTAAAATACAATATATATGTTGTTTTGAATTTTAGTATAATTGTTTGCATTAATTTATAAATACAAGAATATGCAATATAAAAGCTCATACAATAATTAGTAGATGAAAATATAAATTTATAGTTGGCAATTTTTATTTGAGAATATGAAACGGCAATTACGTATAATTAAGTAATAATGCATATAATGCATTTTCAACGAATGAAAATCTAAAAATATGCATAAATAAGTTAACAGATATATATATAATTGTTTTGTTTAATATTAAAGGACATCGAAACATAATATTTCCAATAATTAGTAATTTTTTTTTTTATATATATACAATTTTAATCCATATAAAATATACAGTATACAATATTAAATATACATTTAAAGAATTATATTGCGAGTTGTTGGGTGAAGAAGATTATGAATCATTTTTTAAGCATTAAAATCTAAACCTTAATATGTATATACTATTTTAACAGCACATAATACAAGTTTATAGCACTGTGGTTTTTTTCTTATTCTATGTTGATTATATCAGAAAACATCTATTGTATTTTCACTAATTATTATATCATTATAATGTAGGTTCATTTAAAATAATGTATACAATGCACATGATGTATAAGCGTATACCTACGTCAGTCCAAAAGTTTGATACAATAACAATAATAATTTCTCTGTGTTATTAAGCCTATTCCAACGTATTTTTTCCGGAAATACAAGTAATCTGCTGATGCAATTGTACTTTTCGTTCCAGTCCTTAAATTTTTACTTTCTTACTTTACATTGATGTGAGAGATATCTAGTGATTAAAAGATAATGGGTAGTGGTTTACTCATGTATTATGTTAACGATTTGTATTGATAACGTAATCTGTACATTATAACTACTGTTATAGTTCTTCTACAAATCATTATTTATGTTGTTAAAAATTAACATTTCATTTACGATATATGGTTCATACAAAAAATACAAACAAATGTGTTACTGAATTCTTAATTGAATATTATAAAGTTTACCAGAAATATTTTTTTACGAGTTTTTTTTATAATTATTTGAAGCGTGAAATACATATCATGTACACGTTTATGTAATAAATACCAAATTTTTTACACAATGAATAAAATATAAAATCAGTAATAAATATTTAGATTATAATATATCTTAACACTAGAATTAAATTATGTATATTAATTATACTATATGATTATAATAATAATCATGAACGTTGATTAGATCTTGATTTTGGAATTCGTGTATGCACATTAAATTTAGAAGCAAATAAATGATGACCCATCTGGTTAACCATTCATCTAATGGAATTACTAAAACACTATTTAAATAAAAATTAAAGACACAGAAAATAATACAATTTATATTTATACAGTACACTTATCTATATGTAAGTCCTTTTTTTTTAATAAAAAAAATTATTGTTATGTTAACTATTGGGTGGATTTAAAGTGTGATGATAGCCAATTTATAATATATGTATAGATAATACGTATATTATAATATGTTCAATATTACAGTATAAGGTTGACAAATATAACTATGTATTTAATCAATAAACATAAATTTATACCCAAAAGGATTGTTAAATTGTACTTTTTACCTAAATTCAAATGGTCAAATTGCATTCGGGTAAAACACAGATGACGGTCGAACTAAACGTAGGATTAAAAAGGTGATATCTATACTTTTAAAAATACCACTATTGATATATTATGTAAATCTAATTATAATGTATTTTTAAAGACTAATATACGTAATAATGAATCGTTCGAATCAGAATATTATACTAGAAAATGGATTTGTATATTCGACAAAATTATGGTTGTAACAAAAACTGTATGTAAATAGAGATATTTGTATTATTTTATATATTTTATATACTTTTTTGTATTGTAAAAAATATATCACTCATTAAAAATTACATTTTTTATTCCAACAGTGTTCTTGAAGATTGATGATAACCTGTTTCTGAGTTGAATGCGATTCAATTTAAATAAGTATAATTCGAATTTACCTAGAAGATGATCTAAATTACATTTTTTCCCTAAAGATCTTTTAAAAGAAAATCATAGGAATATGTAATTGTATACTCATATAACATAAATCGTATTAGATAGGAAATAACTGATGCAGTGATTGCTGAAACTATAGAAAAACAAAATTGCTACACTTATACTTTGTAGATATGCCTCTGATAGTTTATACGACATTAAACTTTCTTCTTTGTATACAAATAATTAAAAATATAAAAAATAAATAATGGCAGAGCCAAATCTTTTAAAATTATAATTCTAGTTAAATTGAGTAAAATGGAGTTATAGGGATTAAATTTTTAAATATTAAGGTTTAAATGTATTTGATTTATTAAAAAAAAAGTGATTACAGTTTTAAGCTTTTTACTTAGTATTTTTTTTTCATGTCGGAAAAATTATTGAGAAAATTGAAAAATTACTGGTTCAATGTATCCTAAGTAACAGGTATAATATTAGTTTCCTAAATCTGTTAGAACAGATGTTCTGTTTGATCTTCGAATAAGTGTTTATAGAAAAAAAAATATCAATGCAAAACAGTAGCACAACCAGGATTTTTTTTAAGGGGGGGGGGTCCAAAAATTCAATTATTTTAAAGTAGCCAGCAAATTTAATTATTATTTTATGGTTTGATTAATGTAAATATTGTAATTATAATGTAACATTTAATGATAATTAAATGTATTATGTAAAAAAAAGATAAAATGTATGTACAAGATTATAAATTGAAATCTAAACAATGTTTTGTATAGTTTAAATGTTATATTACTTCTTCAGGTGTTACACTAACTTCGTAGTGGACATCGAGAGTAGCTTATACATTGATTCTTTCTGATGTGGAATTTCTTAAATAAATCTTCGAATCAATTATTCAATATTGTTAAACATTATTATTTTAGAAAGATACAGCACAATTCAAGGGTAGGGGTCCAGCCCCAGAGACTCTCCTGGTTGCGTCACTGATGCAAAATCAAAAACATTTTTATTTCGTTTAGAATTTAAAATGTTACAAGTTTAACTTTACGTTAAAATATTTCTGAATGACATTCGTGTAGTTCAATCAGCAAACATAATATAAATTCTCATACTAAAATTATAAATAGGTAAGCGATTATAGATATTTACGCAAATTATATAGGTACTATAAATATGTAATCAAAATAATCACTCAACGAATTAAAATGGTCGATGTATAAATAATTAATATTAATACTAATATATATATTCATATTGGGTTTTCACTTCAAATAATTACTAGTTAACATAGAATTTGAGATTCGTATGTAAGTTTATATAGTTATATATCTATATATATCTATATATATATTTGTATTATTAATTAAGTGCCTTCAATTAGTGGCTTCTTCTCAAATTAACTTCATGCCATTATTTTAAAAAAATATCACAAATCCTTAATTTAAATACTTACCGATAGATATTTTCTCAGATTCTAATAATAATAATAATAATAAATTTCAATATGAATCAGGTTTCAGCAGTATTTATAATATTACACAGTTCAATTAAAGTATTCGTAACTGAAGACTATAAAGTGATGAATTGCATTTTAGAGGCCGCATGTGTCTATACAATTTATCCAATCAACAAATTAAAATTTATTGAAAAATTTTCAAAAAAATAATGAAAAATCAAAATCTGGAAAAATGATCTTGAAAAATTTTTCTTAAATAATCGAGGTATGTTATTGTATAATGAGCGATAAAAAAGCAATCCAAATAATTACAATTTATAAATAGTGCATTGAAGTCATCGTAGAACTTGCCATGGTCTATCAAGAAATTAAATAATAATATCACATTCATTATTACAAATATGTCGTGCATTATTCTTTTTTTTTTTACAATAACCCATTTAAATTATTGCTTTGATTTTACAGTTTGTACGAAAACAATCTGTTTCAGTTTATTTCTTTGGACCCATAGCGTACAATGTAATATTCAAGATGTTAACTCGCGTTTACTGCACTATGGAAAATATAAAATACAACGGTTTAATGGTGGAAAAGGATTAGAGAAATCTTCATAAAAACCTTCATCGTACTCGATATCGGTAAGTCGTTTATTAGAAAAAAAATTACGGATTTCTAATAATTATAATATTCCAAGCCCCACGTATAATTGGATTGATTTATCTGGTTGTTGACTGATTTATTGTACGTTTATGGTTGGAAAACGAAACGTTGTTACGAAAAGCTTGCAATTGAGTACTAGAATATCATAAGACGTTTGAACGTTTGAGACTAAGAGTATTTTAAACGGTGATGGAAAATCGGCATAAGCCGAACACGCGATTTACGTGCGGTGCAGCACCCACCTGCGGCGCCCTCCGAAGCGGAGTTATTGTTATTGACATTAGCCTGGTGCTGCGCCAACCTCCAGTTCTCGCGTCCCACGGTTTCCGGCGGCGAGCGGACACTTCTCCGGGTACCGGTGGCCGTGCGCCCGGAAACCACGGCCACCACGTCTTCCGCGGCCGACGTCGAGGCCTTCTGGAGCGGTGGTGCCATGATCGTGACGTCGACGTCGGCTATCCCGCGTACAGTCATAATGTCACTACGGCGCACCGACGGCGGTGGTGACGGTACCAATGCGCGCGTTGGTGCAAAGCGCGGGGACGAACATAGTGCGGACGGGCTGTCGCGGGCGGACTGACGTTTGCGCGCGCCAACACCGCGGAGACGGGCACGCGACCCGGAGATTCGCCTCTCACACCCCTCCCACTAGCTCCCCGCGAGCACACCGCTTGTAGCGAAAGTACGCGAAAAATCGGTCTTCCTTCTTCTTCGCCTTGTTTCCGCAGCAGCAGCTGCTCGTTAAAAATCGTACCGAGTCGTCTGTGCTACACGTTACTGTTATCGGCTGTAGTACACGTGTTGTTATTACGCGACGGCGCTACATCGGGACGAGAAACATACTAATTATATCGCGTGGCGCGCGCGTACACACTATGCGAACGGCTCGCACGTGTTCGGGTTTGTGTTGATGATTTACACTGTGGCGGACCCGGACATCTCGGCGAGGCCATTTCGGCGTGCATTCAATTCTTTTAGACTTATATTCTTTAATTTGATTTTTATTATAAACGTGTTGTATGCCGGTATAGTATATGATTCTGAACACGCTACATAAATGATATTTGTGTAAATTATATTATGCGATACGGCATCGGCCAACAATAATAATGATAATAATGATTATCCCTCTATATATCTAACTTAATATAAATAAAATTAAAATAAACTAATGATAACTAATATTATGGGCTATCCCCCCTTAAAAAATTAATGATGTCACGATTGTTATAATTATTTACAAGTTTTTTTTTATTCTTTTATCTACATCGATATACTTCTTTTTTTCCGTGGGGGACTTTTTCCAGTTTAAAATTGATTATAGAATGTATCACGACCAGATTGTACTTTTCTTAAACGAGAAATTAATGTTCATAAAGTTGGATGCTGCACACCCATTTGTAAATTAAGTCGTCTGTTGGCTGCCTCGGATATAGTTGTTAGTTCTGATTTAAAAATCAAATTAAAAGATTTAAGTTTAAAAGAACTGAATGCACGCCGAAATGGATCTACGCCGAAATGGGTTCACGCCAAAATGGTTTATGCCGAAATGGCTACGCCGAGATGGCCACGCCGAGATGTCCTATACCGACACAGTGGCGGTTCCAGAGACTTGTTCGGGGGAAGGGGAAGGGATGCTAAGTTATAATTTTCACAAAACTTAATAACAAATACAAAAACAACAATTTTTACCACACAAATTTCAGTCTTCTATTTTTATAAAGTAGTTTTTATACATGTTTTTCAATAGTATAGTATTATGTTTTTTTTTTGTTTATCTGTTTGTAATTTTTTCTTATCAATATAATATTTTTAGAAATACAGGCTTGGGGGCAAGGCTCTAGCCCCCCTCTGAAACCGCCCCTGGATGTACAGTTGTGTGTTATGACATTGCGGTGATCATTTCCGTACAGGTGCTACATAGATCGTTAAGAATGACAGAAATAGATAATAAATATTAGAATATACGTCAGCCGGCTACCGCTGTAGAACCGATCGCATGATTATATTCTAATAACGCGTGTGCGCACTTACTGTGTGTGTACGTATAGCGCCGGCGATCACTGGCGTAGCGTCCCACGTGGTCGTTTGTCACGCGCACCACAACAATACGTGTCTGGTCGCACGTGAACCGATGGACCAGCGCTGCGTGTCGGTGCGATATGATTTGCGACGTGTACAACGTGGTCGCGGATGTCTTCCGTGTCGTTGTCGTGCAGGTGTCGCGACGTGTGCACCGCCATCACTGCCGTCGAACGCGACCGGATAGGGTTTTCCTGTGCTCCCGACGACCGGTTAACCAAACCGGTCGTGGCCCGCGCGTTTGGAGATCCGGCGGCATTTGGGTGTCGAGCGCAGCGCGTGCGCGTGAGTTTTATTGCCCCGGTTGTCGGGGAAAGCGTTCGCCCGGCGCCGCGATACCAGTGGTGAGAGGGGGGGGGCGACTTAGCGGATCTGCTCTGCATACGTTTGACGAAGCGCTGCTACGGCCGTGGCCCACATCCGTACGGAGACAAGACGTTCCGTTCTTGTTTACGTCGTTCGGCACCGCGATTTGTCTTTCCCGTACGGTATTAAAATACAGTTGTACACCACATTACTACCTGTCACGTGTTCTGATACCGACTGGTCCAGTGGATGATGTTTACAGGGTACTCGGGGCAACGACCTATCCGAGGACAGGCGGTCTTCTCATCACGTCGCGTACGTAGTGCTTGGAGACACATTTCGACCCACTTCTTCCATACCCTAAAATATACACCAATATTCCTAAGACTTGTAATTCTTCTACAATCATATTCCTCCTGATCGTTTATCGTTTTGTTTGCACGTAATACATAGGTGCACTACCGGAGTGTCGATACTCCGGATCCGACCGTCTAACTCGACTCATCCGACCCTAAAAAAAAAACCAAGTCACCCTTTACAAATTAGTTTGGATAATCACCGTTTCATGTCGATTCTTGACAGTAGTCATAGTATTAGGCATAGGTTGAGTGTTGAACCCGACATGGTAATGTAGAATCTAAATAAACTGGTTATTGAATTTTAAGTTAGAAAAAATCAGGAGAAGTATTATTTTACGTTTCTATGTGCATATAAAACCAAGATGGGTGATCAAAATATGAACGAAGTAGCCAATTTTACTTGTTCAAGATCATTAAAAACCAGACGATAATTTTCTCATCATAAATTTCTTCATAAAACCGTAAATAGAGTTATTTACTGTTCTGAATTTTTACAATAAATTGATCTGAAAGTATACTTATTAATTCTAAGCACAATCCCCCCTGTGTCTTAATTCAGTTTAAAAAAATTATTTTACTGATTGTTCAGTACTGTTGTAGGTGCCTACTGGCTTACCACTAAATATAATTTATTAAAAAAATATTGATTTTTTTTTTTCATTCTCTGCTAAAAAATCATGTACTTATTAATCATTTTAGTATATAAATATAAAAATGTTATGTTATTTACTTACAAACAGTAATCATGCCTCTTTGGATGTTATAACTTTTAATTTAAATTAATTAAATTAATAAAAAGCACTTCGAATGTTGTCAACGATCCGTACACACATTGTTGGGTTGAGCTATCTAATTGGCTCATAGAGTTTGAATACAATCCGAACCGGAAACCGTGATAAATTAACAACATGTTTTTAACTTACCCTGTATACCGCGTAACAAATACGATTGGCACACGGGCGTGCGAGAGTGAAAACGGAATTTAAATTTTTTTTTCGTTTTATGATATTTATATTATAGTAAATAATACGACTTTCGGACGTGTTTATGTACGAAAGCAATGCGTATATACCAAGAAAAAACGGCATACAGATGTCAATTTTTATTAATCGAGTATCGATGTGGTTATTAGAAATTAATAAACGTTTTTGAAAGGATGGTTACATGTTTGCCGGTGAATATTCATCGAAAACGATGGCCAATAAAAGAAAAAAATCTAAACATTCTGTAGTCTATAATGATACAAATAATAATGTGTTAACAAATTGTTCACTAGTATTGTGCGATGATATTTTGATTGAATATACGTATTATATTAATTTCTATTTCCACTTCCAACACACGAGTGCTGAGATTCAGTATTAATTTCTGTAGATCACGTTATTAATACGATAATAACTACATAATAAATAATAATACATGGAATATCTTACCTAAGAATCAACACATTCGAGTAAAACGCGTAAACATACTAAGTATTTATAATAATATACTATTGAGATTTTAATTTGAACATTTTAACAAGACGTAAGTATATATATTATGTAGATACGTATATTTATATTTACAGAACGTCTAATTATTCGTTCTAAACACGTTTAGATCGATGCACAGAAAAATCATCAACACTAACATGTATTAAATCATTATCTCGCACGAAATATGTATTAATTGTGGATATAATTACAGGTTTGATTGGGCTATGTACTAGATTTTTGAAAAACTGAGACTTTATGTAAAATAACATTCAATTCATTAAACAATAATATGGAATTATTAAAATAATGACATTGGAAATGTTAGTAAATATATTTACCGTTTCTAGTAAACATTTGTCAATAAATAACACGGCGAGTATGATTGCTGAATCATAATATATTAATACTATTGTTAAAATGAAAATGAATTATGGTTATTCTTATCTCGGCACCTACTTTAAATTAGTGGACACCGTATGGAAAAGTGAACATTTGTTTTACTCCGTGTACTACGTTAAAGTACAATGGTATATGTTTTTATATACGTTTTAAATTAGTATATTTTTTCCACCATTTCACTCTTGTAATTTATGTATTTTTTCCAGAGAATTATAATGCTTTATAATTATACTGGAGGATTACTTAAAGGTTCAAGATGAAATAATACTACTCAGACATCAGTGAAATGGTTTCATTGCACTTTTTATGGTGCTGTAAAGCTAGGAAATACGGTGGGTAAGTTCCGTGCACATGTCGATTGACACAAAAACAAATCATTTTCAAAATATTTATTGTATCTTATAATTATTGCATTATTATAAATTAGTTAATAATTTTACTATAGTTTATAAAATAATAAAGTAATAAATACCTATAATAAATTAATGTATACGTCTTATACATACTTTTACAGCCTAACATCTACTAAAATACTGAAAATTTCTACTACACTCACTATACTTCATCTAAATTTATTTTTATTGCTTTGAGAAGAGTTAACATATTATTTTATTTGTAAACTGGTCATTGCAATAAAAATAATCCTAAATTACCTGTATTTTAAGCTTCTAAGAATTATTAAAAACATAATGTGAAAGTAGATTGAAAAGTTTTTAAGGATGTTTTCTTTTATTTTTATAATTAAAATATCTAACCACTTTGATTATGATACATCTATACCGATGTGGTATTACAAATGTATTCTTTAATATACAATTTAACGACTTCAATTATACAGCCAATGCAGACACCTAAGTGAAAATGTAACCTATATTTTATACCCATTATAAATCAATAGTAAATGTAAAGAGTAAAAGTTTACGAAATGTTATAGTTCAATGTTTCGTAAATATATTAATTCGATAAATCAACTTTATTCTTTCCTTTAAAAAACGAGTTTGAGTCAATAGCCATCTAAATAAGCTATTAATAATTAAAATAAGTTGAACCAAACTGAAAAAAAAATACCAAAAATCCAAACATGAAAAATAAAACTGTATACATTTGTATTGTGAATTACAGGTAGGTAATGACTAATGATCTTACAGTTAATGATAAGATCAAGTTTTGATGTTTTCTGATTTTCTAAAATTCAGAGTTTATTAATTAACCGTGGGTACTCGGATATTAAGAAAACTAGTTAACGGTGTCGCATTATCGTATTAATGAACGTTTCTGTTGTACATCAAACTATCTAATTTATACAAATGTATTAAAATAGTCAATATAATTATCAGGTACTTGTGTTTTTACTCTATTTTATAAAATGTTTGTTTATTATATATAATAATTGGAATAATCGGTAAAACGTTTATCCTCCTGGCTACAATATAACAATAACAACACGTTTTGGTAAATCGTATGGTAAATGAATAAATAAAAACAAATTTGTGACTACAATTTTTTATTCCGCCAAATTACACGTGACGCGTCGTGTTCGAACTATAAATACAATATACCGTCACCGTCAATATCTATCCCCGCGCAAGTGCTTACGGTTATAATCGATTGCGATGGCCGAAAAAACAATGAATCAACCATTAGCGACGAAAAAAGTTCGGGCTGATCGTCCGCGGGTCTTGTCGCTGGTGAGAAAGAATTTGTGTCGCAAGGACGCTTCAACGGAATCGATTGGGCGCGGTTCCAGTACGTTTTCGGCGGAGAGCAGCGGTAACGAAGAGATCTTGATCGACGGTGGCCACGATATCTTGAGCGACAGCGGAACCGGCGGCGACGGCTTCGACGTCGTGGCCGATGATCGCGCGCGGGTGTCCGTAAAAAACAACCGGCTCTTCATATTGGAGGCGCTCATGAAAATCAACGCGGCCGCGCGCAAACAGCTGAACCAGCTGTCCACGGCCACCGACGTCTCATACGCGCACCGGAAACGGTTCACTGCCGAGTTGCGGTCGATCATGGCCCAAGTGAACGTGCGTCTGTTTGAGGTAATGGACATGCCGCCCGGCAGCTCGTTCACGGCCATGTACGCCAGTCTGTACGCGTTGGAGGCGCAGTTCGACGATGTCAGGAAGCGCGTGGCGGACATCTCGCTGCCGTCGTCCGCGGCCCGCCCTAGAAACTGCCGCGAGGCCGTTACAGCGGCGCTATGCGATTGGTTCTCGAATTTCATCACGTGCTTCCAGTTCCGCTGGTAAGCCCGTTTGACCTGAGCCTCCGACGGACCGGCGTGTAGGGGATCCGTAGCTGGAGATTGGGCACAAACTTTAGGGGCGCCATTTCAGTTTTTTTTTTTTTTTGAGGGTTTGCAAGCAATTAAAGAGGCCAATTTTTTCCCACCACCACGCCAAACATTTATGATTAGCAGTGATTACTGATTAGCCACGGTGCATGTACAATGTTAAAGATTGGAAAACTGATGGCCAAGGTGGTAAGGCTGTGTATCAGTGACGCCTAGGCCAATAGCCAAATATTGAAAATGAAAAAATTCAGGGTCTGCGAGTGCACACTTCACCCGACAAATTTCTTAAAATATTAAACTCAGCACGTGGCCGTTGAATAATTGGTAGCAACGAATATCAATTAATATGACCGTTTCAGCCAAACAGATCGCACGTTAGATCAATGTTTATAAGCGTGGCCTGAACACAACATAATTTTCTAATTGTTTTTAGGGTATTCAACTGCGCCAGTTACATCTACTTATAGGTATGTTACTTGACTCAATACGAACGTTAAGTGTAGTGTTCAATTATTTCACGGAAAATTGAATTCGATAAATTTTCAGAATAAAAATTAAATGCATATACTTTTTGGAAATATCTGAGAAAAAACCATCAACTGTAAACGAGGTTCGAAGAATAAAAAAAAAAAAAAAAATAGTAGATAAATATTTTTAGTAGATACAATTTAATTGTGAGCAAGAGTTAAACTATTTGATTTAACTCGTACAGAGTGACATTAGAAAAAAGTAGAATTTGAATTAATTTTTTGCTTGAGTTTGTTATATTTAACGAAGAGTTAGGTATACGAACGTATCAAGAATTCTCACATTCCCTGCAGGATCACGTCAAATTGCGTGTAGCATTGGCCAATAGCTACAAAATGACAGGACCTGATACACAGCATGAAAGGGTTTATCAGTGTTTATTTAAATAATTATCTTAGGCTATATACTATAGATAGATTTTATTGCTGATATTAGCGACAAGTCTCTTGATTATGTGTTTAAAGTGCGCATGCGCGATGCGATTCCTCGTCAAATTATCAGAAAGGTTTGGCACGCCCTCGTCGACCGGAAGAACGCCGACCAATCAATGCACCTAATCAAGAGACCCGTGGCTTGTATTAGCAGCAACTTTATTCCATCGACTAAACGGGAATGTAATTCACCCATAGTATATGATGTAAGATTATTATTCATAATTCCAAACATATCGGAAATCAGCTTGGATCATACACTAAAAATGGAGCTATTCCCATTCAATTAATGGAATAAAGTTGTTGCCAATATAAGCGAGACAGGTCTCTCAATTAGGTGCTGGATGTACGGCGGGCGTGCCAAACCGTGCCGATAATTGTACAAGGAATCACATTACGCATACACTCTTTAAACACATAACGAAGAGACTCGCCGCTGATATCGGAAACAAAAAAATACACAGTGGCTCTGTCTGTAGTACATGATCTAAGGAAACCAGTAATCAAAAGATCAAATCAATAATCAATAAAAAAATAAAATATACATTTGTTTTGTGGACAATAAAATGACAATAAAATTCATTGTTTTAAAAATATTGACCGTGAAACAATTTTACTATTTTTTTTTTTAAGTATTTTGTTATAATTGGTTTGATAACTATAGTTTATATGATTTTCTTAGAATAACATGTTTAATTTTTTGATAAAAAAATTTTCTATTTCGGGTCTCGGAGTTTCGCCATGTTCTGTGATTATGCGACAATCTTTAATACAATCGTATATACTAAGGTTACTTAAAATTTTGTTTTAGCTGCTAAAATATTATCTATTATTTTTATATTTTTATCCTTTAATCAAAAAAAATCACTTTTATATAATAAATTTTTAAAAAAATTACAAAATATACAAGTTAATATGAAAATTTTAATGTTTCGTAATCGAAAATCGAATCATTGATTTCATATTTAAACAAATATAAGTTTATAAAAGAGGGTAAGCGGGATTAATATTAACTAATTAGTTAATAAGTCTACGTAATTATCTAATTTATACTAGATTATTACAATAGTTAAAATAACTATCGGTTACTCTTATACTAGTTATTAAATCAATAATTCGATTTTTAAGTGCCATATATTAAAATGTTCTTAATAAATTGTAACAAATATTATATACTTTGTTATTGTATAAAAATTAAATATTCAATAGTTATTTTTCTCAGTTGGATAAAGGATGAAAATATACATTTTATTATAAATAATTAATATGACTCCTTCTATTGAACTATATTAAAACAACTTCTAAAAACTTATTCTAAAATATCTACGGAAATATGTCTACTTACATATCACTTTGGATTATCCTGGATTACTATATTTGATAGGAAAACTAAATTTATTAGTGAAGCGATTATAGATATTTACAAATAAATATGTACAACATTTAAAATAATTAATATTGTACATTTTTATTTAAAATAATTAATAAAATAAAACAATAATTATTATATAGTAAAATACTTTAGCATATTGTACCTTACATTTTTATTTAATATAAATTTACTTAATTATGTCATATCTGTAGTATTATTTTAATCTTTGGTTAATCAAATTATATATAAAAAAAAAAAAAAAAACATAAAATATAATATTTTTAAATAGTATTTATTTTTATTGATACAATAGTGATTGAGAAACATTAATTAATATGTAAATATAATATGTGTTTTATGATAATTATGATTATATTTAATTTTATTACGTATAATCTTTTTAAAAAACAATATAAATATGAAGTCAAGTCACTACGCTGAGATGCATAAGAATAATCATGCATAATTTTAAATAAATATAGATCATAACGAATTGTTATACCTATAGGTAAATGTATAAATGTAAAAAAAATGTAACATTTCTTCATATGTTCAGCGTTCAATTGCCACCACAAATTATCATTAGTTAATTTGGACTTTTACTAATATTATTTTCAAAAGCAATGAGTTTTAATTTATAGATATTTTTCTCTAGTTTATCAAATCAAACATTTGCTTCATCGCTTGTATTTATTATACAGGGTTATGTTATATGACCAAATGTAGTTTTAATTATTTCATAATATTTTGTTTGTAAAAATTGCTATTTAATAACTATTAATTATACATATGACAGTATGGTTATAAAATATGCCACCAACTCGAGGAAAATAATGTTAACATTTAATATTTATTAAATAACATAAACATTTTAATATAAATAATAATAGTTTATATTTAAAGAAAAAATGCTTAACACGAGTAACAGTAAGTCAAAATCAAATATTTTGGGCTTTGCATATGCACATATTACGATTGTTATCGTGTACAGTTCATTGTCGGTTTTCAATTCGGCTTTTCTCTAATTAAAAATACGGTTTAGCCAAAACGATTTTCTAACATAAACTACAATAATGTAATATAAAAATATAATTCGCGTGTTGTAAGTGAAATTACGTACCATAACTGATCTTTAAGTGTAATACGAAAATAAACAGTTTAATAAAACGGCTTTAATAATTTATCTTAAAAACAAAGATAAGTATTATAATAAATATAGTATTACGAGATTTAATATAAATTCATAACATTGTTTTTATACATATGTTATGGTGCAAAATAAATGTTTACTTAATTGAGCTATTAAAAAACACGCACGCATTCAACGGAAAGAAAATAGAATAAAATATATATTTATTGAATTTTTAATTTAACAATATATATATATATATATATCAATAAATGAAGGTATCGCTCGAAGACAGTAGGAGATAAATTCCAGACTAGATGTCGACGTGCGGTTAATATTATAATATTATGCATTATTTAGTATGGTATTTATGGTGTCCGTCACTTTTAACGTATATATCTCAGAATACATCATATTTTGAAAATGTTTTGAAAAAGTTTATTGAAAATTAAGTATATTATATATCTTATTATTTTAAATTATATTATATTACTGTAATCCATACAAATATATTGTGAATTGGACTTTTGTCCGTATTAATAAGTAAATAAATAAATAAATAAATAAATAAATAAATTATATAAAACAATATATTGTATATAGTTATAAAGTGTCATAATTAAAAAAAAAAAATTGATTTATTTCCTTTTTATTGTCGAGCGACACCTTCAGTACAGTAGTCTGTTTGGGCTATAATGGTAATAATAATAAAGCGCTTATTTTAGTTTTTTTTCTTTGTTCTCGTAAAATATGTTCGCGTTTTTTCGAAAACATCTCGTCTAATGCTGTATATTAAGGAAGAAACCCATTGCTGTATAAACGGCAGCAGTTGCTATTATCGTGACGAATATCGTATACGAAGACCCGTTTGAGATGATGTTTGTTGAACCATTGCACATGTCAGAGGTACACGAGCAATGGGTCACGTCGATGTCGTGGGATCCAAGCCTACTATAACAGTCCTGGTCATCGTGCACAGGATCTTCCACGTAACCACAATCCCGAACTATTCGAATATTGCTGTGGACTGTTGAAGAAAAAAAAAATAATAAAAAACAATGGAAATTATTATATCATACGTAATAGATTGAGATTGCGAATTGCTAATAATAAATATTGCGTCAAACGAAAAGTCGAAAATATTAATAATTTAGCGCATATTTTTAATGGAAATCGGTTATAACCGTACATTTTCACTAAACACGATAAATCGATTAGTTAGAATGAAATATCGCGAACCCGGTATAAATCCGTGAACGAACTACGAAATGTTAGTTTGTTTAATACACACATATTGTATTGGTACGGAATAAAAACAACCAGTTTTTTTTACAAATCGCTTCTAGGCAAATGATTTCTAATGGAAATATCATTACACTTTTCGTCACGAAAGGTGCATTTACAAACGTTTTAATAATAAACGCTAACTATGAAATAATATATACTAACTGCGTTGGACGGTTTTTCGGCATATCACCGGTTCTTTTCCCTGCAAATGACTAGGCACTTCCGTTAAGTTGCAATCAACTAAACCGATTGTGTATGGGTTGAATGGATCTCCACATCTCGGATCGTATTTTGAATTGCACTTGTAGCATATTATAGACTTTGTACCTGTACAAAAAACGTTATTTGTATAATATTTACAACAGTTTCAAGAAAAATGTATTTATTTTTCAGAGCAACACTGATGGTGATCATTGAATTTATTATTTATAATGAATTTTAATAGTCATCATAACATATCGTAGGGACAGTTTGTTTATGAAGTGTATGAGAATTTTAACATTCATATTAACAGAACTTTGGGGAACTTCGATGAACTCACCTAAAATTTGGGTGCTTAAAATGATTTAGACTTACAGATCACAAAAACGTATAGTGTATGGAGAAAACTAGTCAGCTAACTAATAATAACTTAATAGTAACTTAGTTGATATTTTATGGAACATAAAAGTGACGTTGGATAGTTAAAAATATATTTTATATATTTTTAGCTTATAATTAAATGTTTACAGAGTACTGACTATGAGTTTCGTAATATTTATTATTTTATTTGTATTACAATTATTACATTATGCCATTTCAAGTATTTTTAGCGAATTAAATTATATTTATTTTAATAATTCGATGTTTTAGTCAATATTATTAAGATCAACATTACTTATGAGTATATGTTTATATAAAATTTATCTACCTTATAAGTGTGGGAAGTAAGCAGTAAAATTAATTAATTTTCATATAGTCAATAAATTTTGATAATATTTTCCAATTTTTAGAAAAGTAGTTTAAAAAATGTAAAATATAATTCACCTATTTAAAGGTGTTTAATAAAATCCTGGAAAATATTCTGAATGAAACCAACCAGACAAAATAATTAGTTCTATTAGCGGATAATCAGTGGAAATATAGTACGAATTTTGTTTCTTTTCATTAATTGGTATAAAACTTATTCATTAGTACTTATATAATTTACTTTTTTTACTTTATCGGTCCTTATTTAATAATCCTAAGTTGGTTGAGTATATTATTATTTATTCTTACAATGTTTTTTTTTAATATATCTACGTAAATAATTTTTGAGAAATAGAATAAAAACTCTTAAATGTTTTAATGATCGCTATTTATTACTTAAAGTACAGATTTTAGTATACAAGAATAATAAGTTTTAAAATTAATAATTTTAGTAAACATTTTTTTGGTTGATAAAACGGGCAATTGTAAACTCCTTTAAAAAGTGTAAAAAGTTTAAAAAGTTTAAAAAGTAAATTCTCCTAAAAGCATTTTTTCTACTGAATTATACGTATGTAAACTCCCCTAAAAATATTTTGCTACTGAATCATACGTATGTAAACATTGTAAGTTCCCTTGAAACATATTGCTATTGAATTTATTATTAGTTTGATTTTATTGGCCGTCTTTACGACTACATTTACCTTCGCGTACATGTATTATGAACATCTATGGTATGATCCACCTTTTCAAATTATAGGGTTTTAAAATAATAATATTTCAAATTTTATAGTGGTAAAATGCATTAGTATGTTCTTCAAAAAACAGGTTTGTTTTTTAACAGTTTATTCGTTATTTAGAAACATATTCATTGTACAGAGATAAATTTACTCACAATTTACAATGGAGACCAAGGTTTGCAAAAATATTTTGTTAAACATAAAATGACGTTAAATAGAAGTTTGTTATAGGGCAGTTTCAATTTTAAGTTTAGGGGAGTTTACATGCGTCCGATAAAACCACTCGACGGCTTTTTTTTATTATAATGATTAATGATCTTTAACAATATATTTTAGAGGTGTAAATAAATAATAAATATTAATGAATAATATTTTAGTAAATGTATACAAAAAAATGTTTGGGTTTCACTCCCAGTGGAGAGGTCCCGACCTTAGTCTAATATTTTATATTAAGTCATATGGTTTTTGTCGTTTGAAACGCCTTATATTTTGAGAGTATACATATTAATAATATTTTCAAAAATAGTGGAAAATTCTACAGGAAAGTAATTATAAAATAAATACATTTTAATTATTTAATATATTGTTATAATTTAGGAAATATTTTAAAATTTTAAACGATCGTTTAGTTTGTTGAGCAGTATTTTTAACATACACCCATTGTTTCTAACTCTAGTTAAACATTATTGAAATCATAATCTGTTAAAAAAAAAAAAAATGTAATCCAAGACTTCTAAGAAAAATAATCACTTACATTTTTATTGTTTTAGATATAATTTTGCTACACATCTTTGTGTCATAATATGACTTTCAAACCAGAATTATTTTATAATTATTTATAACTGCTTTTAAATTCAAAATATTATAATTTAAAAATAATAAAATAAATAATAATAAAATTAAATAATAAATAAATAATAAAAATAAAAAAACTATTATAATTGTAAAATTTCCCGTGGTCAATTTGATATTCTGTTCTTTCGTACATACAGTTCGTCTATTTGTGGTAAAAATCATAAATTGTATTTTGCAAGAATATTCAATATAATTTCACTATACGTATGAAATCCAAAGCTGAATGATGTATATTATTTTTATATTCCTCTCTCACGTTTTTATTACTTATTTTACATAAAAAAATCATATTTTTTCATAGCATATAAATAAATGTTCTGGTTGACTGATCTCAAGTACCAGTTATAACCAGTGGCTAAAAAATTAACGGTTATTAATAAACGGTATCGCTTTTTAACACATAATTAATTGTTCTTGAGTTAATAACTGTTTGTTTTATTAATAATTTGATATCTAATTAGACATAATATCAAAAGTAACTGGACCATATAGTCTATTATTTAATTTGTTATATGTAGGTACTTATTTATACACTCTGTGTACAATATTATCAGGCAGGTATATCATAATATTATTTGATACACAAAAGAATTACATAGAAACTTTCTAATTAATTTCATTCGAAATATTATGGACATTAACACTTTTAATTTTTAATGTAATCAACTATAAAATGCGTGTAGTTCTTAAACAAATAATTTCAACAAATTTGAAATTCACTGTACTAGTTCATTGCAGTATAGTAAAATTTGTTATACATTGTGTGTATATATATAATATATATATATATTACACATTTTAGGTAAGTATGTAATAAAAACGAGAAACTTTTGGCTTCTTGTATAAAATATTTTATAATATGTCATGTGACCAATTAATATCAATTTAAAATATATCCTTTTTATTTTGCATAAATAAATACATTAAAATATAACGAAAACCTATAGTTAATTTTCAATGAACAATATAAAATAGCTTATTAGAATAATTACTCGTAGAATATTATTCAAACGCATTTATGAATATTATATATATTTGTTTATATTTTTATATATGTTTATATATATTAAAAACATTAATTTATGAATTCAACACTGAATATTCGTACAGTATAAATTAAAATTAAAATTAAAATTATTCATGACTGCATACTCAACACGTATTGGTATAGGTATTGGTTAAATTTAACAACTTGTTTGTAAAAACAAACTTTTAGTTATTAATTGTACCCACCCAAAACTTTTTCTAACCTTAATAAAATATTCATACGTTTTAAAGTACCTAAAACCTTATGTTATCGTATTTAATAATATTTTTTCCTTAACATGTAATTATATACTGCAATTCTATAAGTGGAAAATAGAATATATTTAAGGATAATGTAATCACATTAATAATTTAAATTTAATAATATTTTTATCTATCTATTTCAATAAAAAAAACTAATATATTATAAATTATTATATTTTGTTATTTATGACTTTATAATAGTTATGCTATTATGTCATGAATATGTGGTCTTGACACCTTCAAAATTGTACTCCAAATAATTATTTCAGTGTTATGAAAAGTTTTTTGCGTACAAAGTAATCAAATAATATTAAAATCAAAATATTAAAGATGATACCTACACTATACGTACCATGTACCATTTACGTCATATTGCAAAATATTACCTAAATCTTATAAAATTAAATAAGTAATACATTTCTACACGTGTGATTTGTACTAATTATATAATAATTGATTTTTTATATTTAGCTTTATAGATGTAACTCTAATATTTTAAATGTATAATTAAACAAAATGCATATTTTTTTTTTTAAATTAAAATGTTTAAAATACAGTCAAATACACTATAAATGATTATTTTATATTTTTTTGCTGTTATCAAACTTATAATCAATTTTTTCTTAAAGATAGGCCCAGTATTTACATTAAACTTCGCTAAGGAATGTTTTTTTGAATGCATCAATTTTAAATTTTTAAATTAATAAAAATGAAAACAACTAAAATTAACACGATAATGAATAAACATTTGGTACCGATACCTTACCGGAATTTAATTATATAATTTTGATTCTTAAAGTAAATAAAAAAATTATTTTTATCTTGAAAAATTTGAAAAATATATATTAAAATGTATATATTACAATTATTGATAAGAAAAATTATTACTACATATTGGTATGATGAAATAATGTGATACGTGAAGAGAAATACCTTATACATGTCTGTTTCTAGTGAAAAATTAATTCCGGATATTATTTTATATTTTCACTTGATAGTGAGAAAATGTTTTCTATTTACCTTTGATAGATATCAAGGAAAATTAAATAAGATGGTAACATTGATCTCATCTCATTGAAAATAAATACTTAAAAATATCAAAATTAAATATAAATTTTTTTGAAGGTTTTATCATATTTAATCGATAAGTATAAACAACTTTTAATATTATAAATTAATATTAGTTTATAAAAATAACATTTTTAATGAATTGTTCTCTCTTATTTTTTTTATGAATACTATTTGTACCATAGTTGGAATTTCTAAACATTTTTATTTTACAATAAATATGAAAATATATTCCATTGTATACAAAAAGTGCAGCATGAAATTATTTCTTCTATTGTGTTGTATAAGTTACAAATTATTATAATGTAGAGTTGTCAACTTTATTATTAATATCATCAAATTATGATTAATAATCTATCAAACAAAAATATTTATTTTTAAAATTTATAGAAGCTTACTGCAGTTATCACTTATTAATAATTACTAACTGGGTAAATACCACCAGTAAAATACGTTTCGTCATTTGATGATTGATTATTAAACACATTATTAGAAAACTTATGTAATACAAACTGTATTGATAAAATCAATAGTATAATTTTAATTTTTTGATTTACATCGTGTTAAAAATAATATATATGTTTTTGATTTTACTGTAATTTTTCTTAAAAATCCTATTTCACAATAGTTGAAAGTAGAAAAATAGATTCTGTAAATAAAAGTATATTATGTATTATACACATAATAACAGACATCGTAAAAAACATAGCACTCGATATTGACAGTTGATATGTGTTCTGTTGTAATTTATTAAATCCGGCTGATTTGTCATTTAATAAAAAAAAGTTATGGCATTTATATTTTAATACATTTTAATCCACTTTTAGGTATCCAGTAATTGCGTGGTATTAAGTTTACAAAACGTGTTGGTACGAAAAAATAATTAACATTATAAACTTGTTCTACGACATTTACAATGCGGTTTATTATCAAAGAATCTCAAATGTTGCCAGTTTGTAGTTTTGTTCACAAAAAATGCCCCTTTCCAACATATATTAACGTGAATATTGTTATAATTAAAATTATTTATTATTTATACTTCCTATGTATACATCTATTTCTTGCTTGCCGTTATTTTATAGGAATGAATGTAATCGATCCATTAAGTATAAAATAATAATCTGTTATATGATGATAATAATAATAATAAGGTAGTATACTCGTATGTATATATATTCTGGTGAACGAGAATTAGGGTCATTTCAAGCTTATAACAGAGACCTTATATAATACTCTCCAAGTGCCCCATATATAGTATGTATTGCGATGTTTTCCGATTCCGGTATAGGAATACGAATTGCATTTGTACGGCTTTACGGCGAGCGGTGTTTATAAAAAACCAGTTTCTAGGGTGAATCCGCTGATAAATTACGCGATAAAACCCACCCGAAAGAACTTTGACACGTATACTTTCGCGTATAAACCACTCGAAAACAAACCGAATCAATAACGTTTGGCGCCGTAAAATCGGAACAAGCGGTTAAAACGAAAAAAAAAAAAAAATCTTCATCTTCGGATTCCGTCGGGAAACATGCGACTCGCAGCACGAGACACAATTGTGAATGTATACAAATGCATTGCTGTTTCGTCTATGAAAATTTTCGATTTTAATGACGTAGTCGTATTGTATAGAACGACAGCATGTTAGAAAAACATATAATTCCCTTTGCGTATGTAATAAAACCAGATACGTATTTTACATTAATCGTTTTTTATTGCCACCCTCGGTAGTAGTGTATGCTTATTATATAGATACAGAGTGGTTTTTTTTCTACGTCTAGCATTCACTTTCTCAATCGATCAATATGTGTTTTTTTTGATTGATTTGATTATTCTTACATTAGAATAATTTAATTTATATTTTTTAAATGTTAACGTATATTTTAATGTTATAAAGAAACGTTCTGTTACGTAAATGTCGTGTTACGAATCTCGAGCCGGTTGGTAATTATTATTAAATATTTTAAGATTCGAGATGCATGTATTGTCGATAGACGCCACTTGCTGGCTCTTTAATGTTATCTAATACGTCGATCTATTTTTGCTATCATTTAACCTATTTGCACATATTGTATAATATTCTTATTATTTTAAATACCGCAGATCGTATAATAAAGATTTTCATGTTCAGATAGAATAGTAAAGTAATGCATTGACATTTTAGATGGGTGTATGTAACGATAATTTTAAAGTACATGAAAATAGTTACTTATTCAAAAAACCCATGGATTTTTTGAGGAAAATGTGCGGAGAACAATCACCCTGTACAGGGTAGCGCGTATATCGACAGCACGCGCTAACCTTATTAGTACGACCAGTACGATTCAACGATACGTGTAAATATATCCAATCGGATGAATTACTTTATGCACATATTGTTAGCATATCGCATATTATGTATTACAATTTATAGTAAATGCGTTGAACGTGCGTATAATGACAACAACAATAACGGAATAAGAGTGTACGCATGATATCATTTATAAACGTAGTATAGTATATTGCTTCTTAAGTTTATAACAATATATATTAAATTCGAGACGTCATATTAAACACAATGCAATATATTATATATGTACGCGGTCGTATCTTGTTATTTCAATGCGTGTGTGGCACCGAATCGCCATGGTAATGAGCCATAATAATATTATTTCGGTAACATGTTAAAATCGATTTGACACCGAGACCGGCTGCAAGTAATGTCATCGTCATTTGCTCGTGCAGTATGACAAGCAATAAGAATTTCTTTACGAATATTACAACACGAGCGCGATCCAGACGACGAAAAATCGTGTCGACACGTCGGGCAATAAACCGTAATATATCGAATTTGCAAATATTTTGGGGGGAAAGAAATCGATAACATGACCGTTGTTGTTTTTATACGATGCGTTTGTATACGTACTATATTATGTTGGCTCCTTTACACATTGTCTTCGTCGAGCAAGCAACTTAGGCGATTGCCTAGGGCCTCCGCACTTAAAATTAATTCGAGGCCCAAAATTTGTCAAGTTAGAATAGTTAAGTATATTAAGGTCTAAGGAAATTGTACTGCATTTGCCTAGGACCTCGCAAAAGCTTACGACGGCACTGCCCCTACGGATCGCGACGGACACGATTCGCACGATATAACAAATCGATTTATAATGTAACAAACGATAATAAAAATAATAAGTAAAAGGTACAAATCGAATAAGTACGTAGTTTTGGACAAGAAGCGGGTGCGATCCTACGTGTTACGTTAGTATATTACAATTTATCGTTTCGTAACGAAATATAATAAAGTTTGTACCTACATTACACAGTACACTATTAATAGAAAATGCATTAGTGGCAATCGTGGGCGTAGCAGACGCGTGTTTAACAACATAAGCTGTGCGAGATTATCCGCTAAATAAAATTCTAAATAATGTGTGACAAATACCTTTAACGACGAAAGCGAAAAGTACGAACAAAACGGCGGCGATGCACGCGGCGCATTTAGCGCCATTCATATTTCCGGCGGAACAATCGGACGTGAAATGCACTTGCTCGCGCGCGAATGTGTGTGTTACGAATTTGTATATGCGTGTGTGTATGCGCGTGTGTGTGTGTGTGTGTGTGTGTGTGTGTCTGTGTGTGCGTGCGTGCGTGAACGTGTACGTGTACGCGACTGTTATACACTGAATATGTGTTTACAAACTTTCGCGCGCGCGCTAGTGTATTTATAAACGCGCGCGCGCGCGAGCGCCCGTTCGCGGCGAACAGGGATGTACCCGACGAAAAATAAAAAATTAAAACACGATTACGACTGGACTGCTGTTGCTACGGTCAGGGTGATAAGCCCTACGCGCACGAGGTCGCTGGGCGCGTTTTAGGGACGCCGCGAAGACGACGCCTGGCGAGTCGATTCGCCGGGGGTGGGAGGGATTTCTGGGTGAGACCTCTCTCAATCGTACCAACGTTTGCAGCGATGGTGCGCTCACCCCTCTGATCAGGGGCACGGCTGCGTGGTCTGAATTTTGAATTTATTTTTCGACCCCGTTGTCTCATTATAAACATTATTTACTCAGCTTACCTGGCCATACGAGTTCGTTTCGTTTTTAATTTAAGGTGTAAGCAACGTGTTTTTATTGATATATTCACGTTTTATCCTCGTCACTTGTCTTACGCGTTTTCTTTTTTTCCCCAGATCACAAATGTTCGCATATCACAAAAGGTTGCTTCAAAACTGTTATAAAATACGTTATCATATCGTTATAACACTATTTTTTTATTTTCAAACACAACATCCGTACTCCTATGATGGAATAGTAATAGTAGAAAATAGAAATAATACACAATGAACACTTATAAGTACTAAAATTTATTTTATTTCAATTGGAAATAAATACTTTGCGCTACTGTCAATAATACATAATATAAACATAATATAATTATAATGTTCTTAAATAACTCATATTTTAAGATTAAAAACAAAATCGTTAGTACATGCAAGTGTTGGAACGGACAAATGTTATAATATTATGAATAATTATTGTCGATTGTCGATTTGTTTTTCGCAGTAAACGTATTGAAAATTAAAAATATATCTTCAGTTTAACTGTTAATATAATTTGTGCATAATATGTTAATATTATGTACACACCTAGAGTTAAAAATAACTATAAAAAGTAAAACACTGCTAAAGTCGATGGACGCTGTAGTAGAAGTTTTATGTTCAACAACGAAAATTAATATTTAAAATATAATAAGTTTGTTGTCTATTTTTCGATCCATTATGTATATTGTTACATGATTGTATCTTAGTGTTTTGACGCAAATATTTAAGTGCATAATTCATCACCATTATGTGAACAAAGTTGCGATCATGTTTGCCAGACGGGCTTTTTTTTTTTGTATTTATGTACAGCTGTAAAAGTGTAAAAGTTATGGGCGTTTTGCCGAATAGTAAGAAAGCTCGTTACACTGGGATAGAGCACGGCGCGTATATATAATGTAAGCGGATACATACGATAAATATAAAGTTCACAGAGTCTTTAAAATTTTACGTGACAGTACACATATATCTAAGAAATAGTTTAAATTAAAAAAGTATTTTTTTGTTTTTTTAAATTTTTAAACGATTAATATAAGACGAATTTTTCGAACGAAATTATATTTTCATCACTGAAAACGATGATTATAATTTATAAACTCTATCTATTCTACCTTGTATGTTGTATTATTAGTATTCATCGAGGGTATGAAAAGATAATGCCGAGTTTTTTACAGTATCAGGTTCCCATGCAATGTGTATCATAATATATTTATACTTAAGTATAAAATTGTTGGTTTTCAGTACTCTATATAACCATATAAAATTGAATAGAAAAAATAGTACCATTCTTGTTGTTTTTTATGTACAATTTAGTGATTTTAATGCAATCTATCTCTAATAACTAGTACGATTCATAACTTATGATTAATATTAAATTTATTAGAACTGAGTTACAAATTGTATGGATATTAACTTTTAAACCGATTAGAAAATATATTTTACTTATTTTTAACCAATTTTAACTCATCAACTTTTGTCTTTGTATCGGTTTTTCATTCGCTTCGGTGCGGCATTGTCTGCGCTGAAGCGCTTGATTAGACCCATAATACAAGCAATAAGTACATCGAGTACGCTATTAACCGATTTTAACGATTATTTTCCTATCGTATAGATTATTACGTAATTCCGTAGGGTGACCCTTGTCCAGTGCAGGATATATTACTGAAATAACAATCAAAACGTGTGCATTTAATAAACTATAAAGCTATACTATAGATTTACATCGAAGCGATACGTGCATCCTATAAACCACTAGTAGACTATGCAGAATAAAAATATTTTATAAACAAAGTCCAAAAGGAAATGAGATATTTTACGTATCTTCCCATGGTTCATAATATAGTATGTTAAGTGTACTTCATATTGTATCATTGTACATATTATACCTTTTACTAGTGGATTGCTTAACTTGTGCAGTACATAAAAAAATTATAAACGCATGGTATAATATATGTAAATGTTATAGGATCAATTTTTTCAGCGTGTGCGACAATTGTACAATAGACGATTTAATATTCAGAAATCAAATTGCAGGATTTCAGTCAAAATGTACTTCCTACCAGGGAAAAATCTAAAGATTATTTAAGAATTTAAGGGAGAGCGAATAGGAATATTTATAATCGATTTATAAATGAAATATAATGATAATAATGATATATATTATAAAAACTTGACCGTTGAGCAATTTAAAAGCCCAAGGAGTAAGCGATCGCCTCTTCACTCACTCCCACAAATCTACTTTGCTTCCTACATACATATTATGTACCTAGGAAGGTAGTTTAAGGTTAAAAATCGTTCAAACCATAATTTTACTTCAAGACCTTTTTTTCATACCTAATACCTCTTTGTCAAATAATTTATTGTCAATAAAACTCTGTTTAATGAATATAAATTAAATTAATGTCAAGTCGGTTGTTTACCTGTAAACTTAAATACGGACAAAAATAACGTTTATTAAAGTATAATAAATTCAATTCAAAATAAACACTAGTAATTTTCTAAGTAGTTTTCACTAGTATTTTTTAATAATTAGAAATATATATATTTAAAACATTTAAATATGTTCAATATCAAGAATATTTTTTATATAAAGTGAATAATAACTTATGATTAAAAACATGGAATAAACTTAAAATGTGCCAACCATCAACTTTTTAATTTTGATATAAATTTAATAATTTTGGTCTGATTAAGTTTATATGTTAAAATTTTGCTTTTCTTATTATGCTATCTTCTTTTTCTTAGGATATGAGGTCACTAGGACCATCCCTTCAAACACTCATTCCTCATGTTATCTCTGCTATATGATAAAAATATAATACAAATATTATTTAGATTTCGGAAAATACAAGGGCTAGGATATTAACTATGTACTTGTTATTATAAAACTCATTCGGCTTAATTTTGTCTATTGAAAATGTTTGACTATTTTTGTATAGTTATTCAATATTTGATTACCGAAAGTAAAATATAAAAATATATATTTGGTCAACAATACATTTTTAATTCAATTGGAACTTCTTTAAAACTGAAAAACTTTAATTTAATAAGAAGTTTTAATAAGTCTGTACTGCATTTAAGTTATATTCATTGATTAAATATATAATGTTCAACATATATTTTAATCGATGGTATTTAAATTTAAAATGTATATCTTAAAAATTTAAAAAATAGAACCTACATTAAAACTTTAATTATTTGTTATTGTGATTCATAACAATACGTTTTTTACTATATTTTATGGTAGTTTTATTATTGTTCTTAGGTTCTTTATTGTTCCTACATCTAGTAAAACATAATTCTTTTATTTTATTTGATCTCTAAAATACAATTTGGATATTAAATTATGAAATAATTTATATATATATTATATATATTATATATATATATAATTAAAATAAAAGTAACTGTTACATTTCAATGTATTATTTTTTTCTAGGCTTGTTCCGCAAAACTAAAAAATTAATTACTGGCATGTTATACGTATATTTAATGAAATTGTATGTTACATTACCAATATTTTATAATAAAGTCATAAATAATTATCACAAGTGATAAAAATCAAAATATTATTTTTTAGTATTGTAATACTAAAATATAATAATTGGCTTCTAAATGCCAGAGTGTACAGTTATTTACCACGGTTACTACGCTAAAGTTTCTACAAAAATAATATAATAAATATTTAAAATGAAATACGGCGTATAATATAATTTATATATCTATATATATAATATAATATATCATATATGAAAGGTGTTTGATGAGTAAATGTTGGAACCAAGATAGAAAACACTTGAGTATAACAGTAGGAAATGTATACAATACAGAATATAATTAATAGCCATGGATCAAATATAAGTACAGAATGATGGGACACTGAAGACTATGCCCGAACCTCGTTTATTCTTACTATACAACTATATAATGTAACGGATGATTAATGTGATTATTATTACAGAAGTAACATTGTAAGTTTTGCACGTATTTTCATAAGGTACTAGCTGAATTACCCATTGATGCTTGGTTATGGTAAAAAAAACTGATTGTTGAATAATTAAATAAATAAATAATTTATTAAATAAATATAAATTATAAATATTGTTATAATAATGTGCAATTAAGGTTTAGGAAAAACATATAATTGAAATATTTAAATGTTTTAAGTTTTAATTAAATTTTTAGATAAACACAAGACATTTACATACGGGAAAGCTGCTAAAATTTCATTTGATACAAAAAATGTATAAGCAAATGAAAATTTCAATGACTTTGTGTATTATTATTGTAGAATTTCTTTATAAACTATACGTATATATATTTCTTTGTTTTTTTTTTTTTTTTTTTGTTTGGTATAATTTGTACTTTTAACTTTTCAAAAGATCTAACTCTGAACATGACGACATAAAGTTCACCATTACCATATACAGGTCGGTTTAAATACATACCTACTTTATCCAATGTTTGACCTTGTGCTTTGTTGATTGTTCTAGCAAAATCTATTGAATCTTGAATACAAGTCGTAAGTATAAGTAACTAATATGTTATGTTAAAACACAATGATGCTAAGATTTAAACATTTTCCTGTAATAAAATATATATATTAAAAAAAAAAACTTTCATCCAGCTTTATTCTTAAAGAAACCTATCCTATTTTGTTTTCCACAATTTCAATGTTTTCAAAATAATACACAATATTTTTATTACTCACCAATTTACATGCATACACATGTTTTTATGTAAAATATTATAATATGTAACTATAAAATCTAATTTAAATAATTAGATTGAAAATGCAATTAAATACAATTTGAATCACTAAGAGCTGTTATACTCGTAATTCTGATTTTTAACTGCAAAAATACGTTGCTTGTCAAACAAAGATTGAATTATTCTAATCATACCAAACAACGATCAATAAATTTTATTACTATGTTCGTATACCCGAATACATTTGAATTATATAACCGAGTCCTATAGAAAATATTTTGATGAGTCATACTATAGAGTTAGTAATTCGAGCACCTACACGGTGATTAGTTTTTTACATTATTAAAATACTTTTTATTTATTCAAACATATTATTGATTGTAAATATTTATATGGTATTGTATTCATCAAATAATGTATGAAAAAATAATTATTACTAGATTCATATGTATGGTTCAAAATCAATTGATTACCCTTCAAATGTTGAAGTACAAAACAAATAAAACCATTAATATTCATAGAAACAATTAATGTCATCATAAGATAAACTTTTACAATTTTATAAATATTTTTCATATTGCTTATACTTCACAATAGATATTGGGACTAGATATTAATAAAAAAAACTATTATTTAAATGTACAGGAAGTTAAATTATATTTGTAAAGATTGTCACTGATACACGTTGAAAAAAAACAATTGAAGTAATTAAAAAATCTGTATATATTTTTAACAATCTCAAAGAAATTTAAAATTAATATTAATATTAATTCTTTATGCTTTCTTATTCTTTTTTTTTGTTCTAAACACTACTGAGGAAATCGAAAAACTTTCGTGTTAAAACTTTTATTTGAGTCTAATTTTCAATAAACTAAAATATTAAATATAGTTACACTATTAGTCTTACAACTATAAAGTATATACAAAAAATTAGTTTGTATTTCAGACATAATTTTTGGAATAATGTATACTTAAACAGAGTTGTTATTTTACATATTTTTTTTTTTTTATGATGTCAAGTTTTTATTTAACTGTTTTGAACGAACTTTAAATGGTTTTAAAAAAGTTTAAAAATAGATGATTCCTGATCTGTGATTTACTAATAATATCTTATGAAGCATCAAAGCATTGTGCACATGCTCACTAGCGACGCACAGTTGTCCTAAATATTAATTTAGCTTGCAAAAATTAAATTTTTTTTTAAAAATTAAGCTTTTTATGTTTAACTTTTTAGCCTGAATATATCCATATAAATCCTTTTAATCTAATTATTAAACATTAATTGCTATTTGAAATCTATTTATATTTATACTACTACATATATACTATTATAAAGAGGTAAGATTTATGAGGTTGTATAGTGGATTAACTGAACCGATTTGGAAATTATTTTACGAATAGAAAGCCACATTAATTGTGAGTGTCATAGTTATATATTAACCCGAAAAATGAAAAGACTTTTTCATGGTAGTCAAATTTTCACAGTAAGTCGGAGAAAAAACGTCGAACGAAAATGTTTCTTACGACCGCTTCCTGAACGATGAGATAAATATTATTAAGTTCTAGAGAAAATTTGTAGAGTTTGATAATGTCTACAAAAAAAACCAGCGACAGCATACATCTAATTTTTATATTTAAGTCACAAAAACTTAACCTTTTTCTTGAAAAATTGATTACATTTTAATTTGTGAAATTTATTCTCTTAATATTATTGTTAGAAGAAGCAAAATAAAACAAAATATTTTGAGAACTCTATAGGCAGATAGAGGCAAAAAAAGTTATTCAAATAAAATAAATTTAAATATATTTTGTTTTGTAGTTAATATTATTAAATTATTAATTAAACCTTTTTTAAATATGTATAATACTTACACAAATTAAAATCAAACTAAAATTGCGTAACCTCACGTACTTTAAAAATTATTAAGTTAAAAAAATTCACTTACCTTCAACATTGACCTCCATGTTAAAATATATTGGCAAAAAAAATTCCAACAATTCACTCAATTTGTCTAATTTAAGAGTATTATAATTGTTTAAATATATGTACCTACTATCTTTTGCTTAATGTTATTTTGTTTTTCTTTATGTTTATATGTATACAACTTATTGGTTATACTAATATTACATTTATATTTTTAAGTACTTTTACAGTTATACTTAATATTCAATATACCTAATACTAAACTATTTGCATATACCCATCATCAGTAGCGCACAAGATTTTTTGGAGAGAGTCATGTGCTTATAACAACTTTATAAATTGGGGAATCTTTTAGAACTCTATGCAGAAATATAGTAAGACTTGTAATATTGAATAATTATTTTACTTGGAAGATGATTTCGGTATGCATCACTGCTCACTTTAACTTTTCAATCAACATTCGATGTTCAATTTGTTCAACATAAGGTATTACACCTGTTTCTATACACTCAGAAAAGCATCAATATAGTATAATTTATTTACTCTCTTACTACCGCAAGATAATATTATTTACAGCTGGTGCAATGTACTTTTATAAATTAAATATGAGCGTTTGTATAGGATAAAACAAATAAAAAATATAATCGAAATAAAGAGTTAAAAAAATGTATATAATATATTTATAAATAAATATTTTCATTAAATTATTTTTGTTAATTTTAATGGAATAAACAAATATTTTTAGTCAATATAAATGTTTTAGATATTAATTGTATTGAATAAATTAAGAATATTATAACGATTTAGCTAACTATTAGTCAATAATATACTAATTGTTAATATTATGTGTTTAGTTTATATAGATGGCCAGAGATTTATACAATTTATAAAATGTATTTTACCGTTGTAACGATATGAGTAAAATTATTTACCAATACATTCTAAGAAAAAGTTTGCTACGATTGGGTTGTATTAATGTTGTAGATATAAAAATATGTACACAATATATTTTATACAGTCTTTTATATACCAATATGTATTATACTTGAATTTTTGTAGGAAACCCATTTTAGTAAAAGTCTATACATCACGTTTGGCTAACGCATACAATTCGTTTTCTTCTGTATCACTGCTACTTCTGCGTGATAAACTCAACTTACTAGCTTCTTCGCTAGAGTCATCATCTTCTTCTTCCTCTTCGATGACACTTGACTGGATCCACTGTTTGATGCGTTCTTTCTTCGTCGCTCTATCAACGACGACAGTCTCGATGCCACAGTTGGAAAAGGCCAGCAAGAATTTCTTGTTCTCCTCCTGATCTGTTTGATAACTGTACAGAGACGGACTTAGCTCGTCAATATCGTCTGAAATAGCTGTAAGCAGAATAAGCAGTGTCGATCACAAATTTCGAATTTAAATATATACTTCAGTGTTTGTCAATTATATATTATATACTATTGTGATATCCCAAAATGCTATTATTTCCATTTTTTCTTCTTTATTTGATTATTTCGTTTTTTTATAGATGTATAAACGTAATTAAAATATTATAATAAAAACGAATTCATGAGTAAAACTAATGAATCATGAAAATAGTGTAACAAGTAATAAATGAAAAATAGTTTTGATACAATATTCTCTCAATTTATGAAATGCTAGTGTAAATGCCCCCCCCCCCCCCCCAGGAGAAATATTCAAATAATTCAAAGTTAAACTTAAGAGAATAAAACAACCAACACGGAAAAACCGGAAGTCTGCATCGAAAAAACATGGCAATCATTTAAAAAATCCATTACAGAAGTTGCCAAAAATAAACTAGGACAGATTACCAAAACAAAAAAAAAACTATGGATGACTGACAAGATTTTTAACTTAATGAATGAAAGAAGATCGTAATAAAATATAAATGACCAACAATATAAACAAATCCACAAACAAATAAAAAGAGAAATAAGAACTGCAAAAGAACAACATTTCGCAAAACAAATGAATGTAAAGAAAATGAAAATTATATGATGGTTGGTGATAGTTTCAATTTACATAAAAAATTAAAGGAACAGCTAAAATAGTATCAAAATCCGCTGAAAGCACTTTAACAGATATAGATGGGAATCTAATAACAAATCTAGAGAATAAATTTGAGATATGGCAACAATATTAAGAAAAAGAACTTTTCCACGATATACGACCAGAAAAATACAAAATAACGTTCGATGGTAGTGGACAGCTGATATTGGTAACCGAAGTGCAGAATGCCATAAATAAATCAAAAAACAGAAAAGCAGAAGGTCCTGATAAACTACCAACAGAATTATTTAAGACTTTGACCAATTCCACTTGCATCACACGTTTAACAGAACTATTCAATACTATATACGACACTGGTCATATACCAAATGACTGGCTACAATCCACATTTGTAGCAATACCTAAAAAGCCAAATGCAAAGAAATGCAATGAATATAGAACAATCAGTCTTATGAGCCACACACTAAAAATATTCTTGAAAATTATTCACGCCAGAATTTACAAAACAGCAGAGAAACATATGAGTCAAGAACAATTTGGGTTCCGTAACGGACTTGGAACTAAAGAATCTTTATTTAGCATATAAATACTTGTACAACGATACCGTGATATCAATCAAAAAGTATATTTGTGGTTTATCGATGTCGAGAAAGCATTTGACAAAGTGAAGCATGAAAAACTGATTAAAATTCTACGAAAAATTGGTATAGATGGAATAGACCTACAATTCATAACAAACTTATATTGGCATAAACAAGCTAAAATCAGAATAAACAATACACTCTTTAATGACTTCAGAATTAGGAGAGGAGTTCGACAAGGATGTATCCTTTCGCCAATATTTTTCAATCTATATTCAGAAGAAATTATGTCAGAAGCATTGGAAGATACGGAAGAAGGTTTTATCATAAATAGGAAGGTTATTAACAACCTGAGATATGCAGATGACACTGTACTGATAGCTAGCAGCATAGAAGACCTACAAACGATATTAAATAAAGTAGTAACAGCTAATGAGAACTTAGACCTAAATTTAAATGCCCGAAAAACCGAATATATGGTAATTGATAAAGAACAATATCCGACAAATGTCCTTAGACTCAAAAATGTCCCCTTAGATAAAGTACAAAAAATAACTTATCTTGGACAGTCATTAATAGATGACTGGGATCATTCTCACGAAATAAAATGCCATATAGAAAAGGCCAGAGCGGTTTTTGTGAAAATGAAAAATATTTTCTGTAGTTATCAAATTAGCATGAATATCCGAATTAGAATGATTCGTTGCTATGTATTCACCGTACTTCTTTACGGAGTAGAGACTTGGACTCTATCAAAAGTTTCGATTAATCGAATTCAAGCATTTGAGATGTGGATATACCGCCGAATATAAAAAATTAGTTGGTGCGATCACACAAAAAATATCAATGTACTAGAAAGAATGAATAAAGAACTTGAAATAGTGAAAACAATAAAATCACGAAAACTTCAGTATCTAGGACATGTTATGCGACATTCAGAAAAATATAATTTACTACAATTAATAATTCAGGGTAAAATAGTAGGAAAAAGGAGCTGTGGAAGACCTCAAATGTCTTGGTTGGACAACCTCCGAAAATGGTTCAATACATCAACAATATCTTTATTCAGAACAGCCATTAATAAAGATCAAATTGCTAACATGATTGCTAACGTTCGTTAACGAATATGGCACTCGAAGAAGAAGTAAATGCATACAAATAAATAATGACGTTCGTAAGTGTTGTCTTACCGAATTCCTCTAAATTAAAAATATGTTTTTCTTTTTTAGACGAACTAGAATGTTCGTTTATCAAACTCATATTTAAATGAAACTATTATAATATTAATCAAAATTATTAAAGCAAAATTATATTTTAAAAACAAATAGATTTAACGGGGGGGGGGGGGGAAAAAAGAGGTGGAGATTTTCCGTAAAAAAAAAAAAAAAAAAAAAAAGACATCAAAATTTAGATAAAAACGAAAATAATTATTTGTTATTATTTTCTGGTTTTAAAATATAAGTTTATCTCATGTTTATAAATTTATATCAAAACTGTTAGTAACCAAAGTAACAATGATTTAGAATAATCATTACCTAGCTATTTTATTCACAGTACGGACGTTCAATATAAATACCTGTTTTTAGTATTAGGAAATATTAAATTATTAAGTTTTTTTGGATTTATTTATTTTATACAATATAAATTACTAGACAAAGAATGTAAAAGTAAATAATGATTAATTCAATGCTTCAATTAATAATTAAATGTTGGAATTGTAATTACAAAATACCGAAAAAAATATTTTATTTTATAATTAAATTAATTGTTAATTGACTAAAAAAAATGTACAAGTCAATTTTGAAAATGCCGCCACTACTAAAGTGCCGCTGTAAGCAGGTGCCTAGCTTGCCTATACCTTGAGCTGGCCCTGACTCTACCAACAGTCGTTCATTCTTATATGATTATATTTTTTTATTTTTTTAAATTTTTTTAAAAAGACATTAACAATCTGTATATATAAAAAACCAATAAGTAAATATGATGACAATATTACTAGACGTGACAGGCACGAGGGAAGGGTGCGACCAGTGACACTGCTTCCAAATTATGAACTTAGAGGGGAGGTAAAATTGTTCAGTAGGTACTAAGTATTATTTAATAAATCGCACGGCCATTTACATTTAAGACGACGGAGAGGGCTGTCAAGTATTGTGCAAGAAGAGAGTTCAGATATTAGAGGGTTAGAGTGGTTAAAGGTGTTTTTATGGAATTTTTTATAATGATAAAAGGCAAATGAGAATATTGGTGGTAAGTTAAAGTTATGGTGTAGGGTGCGGTTACTAAAGTGCTAGGGAGCATTGGAGAGGGCATGAAGAGTTATTGATTGGAACGCTTGAAATTTGATTAGGTTTGAGTTTTTCGAGATACCCCACAGTTGAATTCCATATGTCATTGCGAGACGTAAAATTTGTAAATTAGTAGTTCATTAATAAGAAAGGTTTTGGATCGGAGGAGTGATTTTAATTTGTCAAGCCTGAGGTTAAGCGAAGTTATTTGAGCTTTGATGTGATCAGCCCAAATTAATCTTTGGTCAATAGTGAGATTTAGGTAATTGACAGATTTTTCCATTGGAATCATTTGATTATTTATGTAAACAAATGTGATTATATGATATTAAAAAAAATATTAAAAAATTATATTATTGAACATTATGAACCCGCATTAAATATCGTTATTTTAGTTATTTTATTAATTTTATTTTGTAAATATATTTTCATTATAACTAGGGCTTGGGACTTCTAGGAGTTTGCATGTTTTTAAATAATCATCAAAAACATAGCTAAGTTATATAGAAATTTGTTTCATAGCAATACAAGTTCATATTTAAAATTTATAGTTGTTTTGCATATTTGACCGTTTTTTATTTATAAGTGCATATTTGACAATTATTTATACGAAGGAGTAAATTTTTTAATTTATAAAAATTATGGATTTATTTCTTCATCCATCACTTGGCTTGAAATCCAATGTATGGCACTTACTGAATCCATTAAAATAATTAAAACTACAAAAGAAAATATACATTCTAAAAAAATTGAAGGATTTGCACATGCTAAGGCAATTGATGACAAAATTAAAAAAAGTTTTGGAGAAAAAGGTTGAATTTTATCAACTACAAAAAATATCGAAAATTATAAATGGAAAAAAATGAATCTATGGAAGGATTGCCTGCAGATATTAGTAGTAGTTACCTACCACTTTTTAAGTTTGCACCAATAAGTTCCGTAAACGTAGAACGTTCCTTTTCTAAATATAAAAATATTTTGGCTGATAGCAGGCGGTCATTTAAATTTCCCAACTTAAGAAAATATCTTATAGTTCAATATAATGCTCGAATCTCGGACAAAATATCCAAGGACAAAATATCCTATACTAAAATATCCAAGTTAAAACATCCATGGTTAAAATATTCAGGGATAAAATAATTAATATATAGGACAAAATATCCAAATAAAAAAATAATAAAAATCTGTGTATCTGTACATAATTTTTTTATTTTTTCATTTATTTTTTATTTAGATCCATTGTTCATTTTTAAATCAAAATTAACATTATTTAATATTTTATAATATAGTAATAAAATAATATCAGTAAAAATTAAACTATGTTACGTTATAATGCACTACATGAAACTAAAGATATAATTATTATATAACACAACATGTTATTTTTATTATTATTATTTTATAACTGTATTATAAAGTATTATTAATGTTAAATGTTATTAAAATGTGATCTAAAAATGAACAATAATGTATTTAAATAAAACAAATTATACAGCTATTTTCGTAGTTTAATTTTTACTAATATTATTTTATTACTATATTATAAAATATTAAATAATGTTAATTTTGTTTTAAAAAATGAGCAATGCATCTAAATAAAAAATAAAAATAAAAAATAAAAAAATTATGTATAGATATACAGATTTTTATAATTTTTTTATTTGGATATTTTGTCCAATACATTATTTATTTTATCCCTGGATATTTTATCCGTTAGATATTTTAACCTTGGATGTTTTGACTTGGATATTTTAGTACAGGATATTTTGTTCTAGATTCAATTATAACATATTTATCACTATATGTTGTCAATTTAAACAAATATGATAAAAAAAAAATTATAGGTGCTCTATTATAATATTGTTTTATTTTGAAGTACATTTTTGTTGCGCGGTAAAACTTCAATTCCTTCCATTATGCAGCATAGAGAATATTTAACAAATATTTCACTTAAATGTAATAAAAATAATTTTAGGTGAAAATACCTTTACTTTTGTCCAACATGTATTTAGACAGCCACCGTTCGTCAATAAAATTTTGTATTTCGTCCAATACACTAGGCCTGGTCTGTACATTGGGTTGTAGGAACTTTCGAAACATTCTTTGGGCGTTGGACGTCAACATCTTGAACAGTTTAGGCCTCCGGAACGGACTCATTATGCCGTTGCTAGACAACCAATAAACGTAACTGACAAACCTCGGATCCTCAGAACTGGCTTTCTGCCACGGCAAGCAGCCCGTCAAACACACGAACAGTACGACCGAAAACTGCCAAACGTCATGTGAAGTTTCTACTCTAAATAAAGAAAGATTGATTATAATATATAACATTATAATAATAATATAAAATTGCGCGTATATCATCACGTAACAGTTATAGACGTCGTCGACATACTTGTATTTGTGTTCGGTATCTATGGCCAGGATTTCGGGAGGCATGTACGGAATCCATTCGTTTCGACGCGTTACCCAGCTGCCGTTTTTTCTTGTCTCGCCGAAATCGCATAGCTTTATTCTGGAAAAGTCGCTTTTAAAAACTAAAATATTGTCCAGTTTGATGTCTCTGTGGACCAGGTCGTAACTGTGTATGTACTGGATCGCAGAAACCAGCTATATAATATACAAACAAAGGTATGCGTATATAACACAAAATATTGATCGCGTCACAAAGTGAATATTATAATTGACAATACGTGCAACATTGAACATATGTTAATAATTAAAAACAGTATAATACACAGCAGACGATACTGTGAATGTTATGTTGTATGTATAGACTCGTGTAAATATTGCTAAAAAATTGCCTCAATGTTATCGCACCCAAAATGTCTTAGTTTTACCGGAATTTCCTGTGCAACCATCACGCATGAAATTATACCTGAACAACGTACAACGTAACTTCGTAATAATACATGTACACGCCGAGTTACGTATCGATTTATCGCAGTTTAAACGTATAAATATAGATCGCTCAGTCAAAACAAATTCTAAAACAAAAAATAGCACATTCTGCACGCCGAGTATCATTATGACCTATTGAGCCGTGCAGGCTTCTTAAGAAATATATATGTACGTGTATACACATAAAGTTTTCATAGTATAACGTAAAAACACTATAAACCAGTGGTGGTCCTTGACAAATTCCAAAGAGGGAAGAGGTGAAACATTTTTCATATCAAATAAAATCCTTAAAAATAGTAGTCATAAAAAAAATGGTTTGTTAAATTTAAAAATGTATTTCATGTAATATTACAAAATAAAAGTTCTTTTTCGGACTTATAATAAAATACTTAAAATAATTTAAAATATAGATATATTATCAGGTTTTTGTTGTAATATAATATAGACCAAGGAGGCGGTGATCCCCTCCTCGTAGGACCACCACTGCTACAGACCGGCCGACGGCAATTGTTGATACTAAGTTTACTTGCCCATTGGCAAGGCATTAGCGTTTACGGATGAACTGCAACTGCATCCGCGTACATTCATACGTTATACCAATAAAAAAGATCGGTAAAAATAGTGGTATACAAAATTGTGGCCAAACTTGTAACCACGTGGAAGATCGACAGTCGGGTTATACAGGTTATATATGTAGACGCGCGCACATGCGTTCACATATTATCCATTATTTAAATTGCGACCTATACGAGTCCTAACTATCATGAAAATTTCGTGGAAAAAAAATATATCCACGACGTTTTTGGTGGCGTTTTCATCTGTACAATCATAGTAAATATGTACTGATCGATTCGTACGGCGGAGAACAACTTGATATTTTCTAGACTGTGCACCTGTCTAACCGTTAATGACCCGAACTCGATTCTCGATTTTCACATCCGACTTACATGAATCACACACATGGGCATAGTATTTGCATGCTACAGCCCCCACAGAAACTCAGTGGTATCCTAACAAAATTTGCTTTTATTCAAAAATTTTCATCCGAAATCATAGTTTAAAATGTTTTTATAATTTTATAATGTTTTACAATATTTTTTCATAAAAACACAGACGTCCTTATTAAGTTTGATTTAATAGTTTAATTTTGATTGTTTTATCTGTTGTAAAATAAAATGTTTAAATTATTTTTCCCAGGTTAGGATATTTTTCCCAGGAAATGTTCTCCTTCCCTTTGAAAATTCAAGTTGAACGCAAGGAGGTTTCGAATCACGTTATTCCCGTCTTATACTAATAATCTCGCCAAGACTACTACGTCCACGACCACGCATGCATAGGCGCATTAGGATTTTTAGCACTCCTGTTTTTTTTTCAGATCTATATAATCCATAGTAATTACAGTTAAATGCCATTTAATTTAATTTTCAGCGATTTTAACACCTCCAATGTTTGAGCTCTAGTTGAGCTACACTTGGGAATCATCCCGACCGACCTGTTTCGCGACGCATTTGCTGTGCAGCTCCCCGATACCGTTGTCGGATATGTTGGACGTGAGGTCGCCCAGCGGCGCGTACTCCTGCGCGAACACGTAGAAGCCGGCCGTCTGGAATGCCACGTCGAACGTGGACACGATGTTGCGGTGCGCGCTCAGGTGATAGCTGAAATGGAACTCGCGGTAGAAGTCCTTCACAGCTGTGTAGTTCTTGGGCAACGATTTCAGCACCATCTCGTTGTCCGTGCCACGGTGCTCGACCAACAGTATCTTGCCGAACCATCCCTCGCCGACGATCTGCACGATGTCGAACGTCTCGGTCAGGTCTATCTGGGGACGCGCAACGGTAGAATGTCAATATCAACAACAACAACCGTAAACATCCGACGAGTTAAATGTTAAACGATGTTATCGTTGGTAGAAGTAAAACCGTGCAGTTTTAAGGTAAGCGTTTACAGGTTCGCTTCGTATGTATCGTATGAAACGGATTTTAGAATTGTTTGTATTTAGTAAGTTATACAGGTACTTTCACTGAGACACGCAGTTGACGAATGGTACGCGTCGGCCCAGCGGTAATGCTGATGAAATCTCTCGGAGGAGCAGCTTTTTTCCGACCGGTGCGAACGACGTCATACGGAAATGCGATTAATAATTTTATTATTAAAAATCCGATTGCAAATGGCAGTGGCAATCCGATTGCTGCGGATACGATGAACGCACTATCATAAATCGATCTGTTTCGTACGGAGCGTTCGACACGTACGGTGCGAACCTATGGATACTTCCCGTTTTTAAATGGACGGTTTATGCGTCGACGCCGCTGATGCGATAAAAATATCGTTTCGTAATACGACGGTACCCGGTGTGGACAGCTTGCTGTTCGACGAACGTGTGTCGGACGATATTTTATCGTTTCGATTTCAACGCAAACAGATGATCAGTTTTCATACACGACCGATAATATCGTTTGTAAATCGATAGTTATAACAATTTTTATTGATTTGTTTATTATTTTCGTAAAAAAAACTTAAAATAATTATTCAACATTTCACCAATTGATCTACCGACTATAATGACAGGATAAAAAAAAGAACAAATGTAACGAAGTGTTTTTTTTATTTAGAAAAAAACTATGATTTATTAAAATTTATTTAAAATGTACCTTCCAAATATCTAACTTCTAACATAGGATGAACCCAATATATAATAATTTTTTTTATTGTTACTCATTTAAATTATTTAAAAAGGATACACATTCACGTTAGGTTAAGAACTACGAACTGTATACGTACAAACTGTGTATGAATATTCAGAGGCGTAATTACGGGGGGGGGGGATATGGGGGATAGATCCCCCATGAGCTGTATTTATATATTGTCTTAAACATACAAATAACTCAAATACAAACTTATAAATTATTACGAAACTAAAAAAAAAACAGGTTATAAATGTTTATCCGTAAACGTCTATGTTTTTTTTTAATACACCAAATCGTCAAAATGTTCTTTTAACCAACATTGAAAATAGTAATGAGGATCCTAAGGTTAAAACTTTATAAAGATTGTGTGCTACACGATGGGTGTAGCATTATGATGCGATAACAGATTTTATTAAACTATTTGCATTCGTAGTTGAATCATAGGTACAGAAAATATTCCTAATTGGAATGAATCAACTGCAAGCTAATATACTATTAAAAACTATTGATTCAGAATTTCTTGTATCCTTACAAGTTATACAAGTAAATAGTAATTAATAAATATAATTTATTTTATTTTATAATAAAATATTTTTCCAATTGGTTTTTTCTTTTGGATTACCATTGTGTAAGTTGCTACAAAAAGAAAAAATTGATTTAAGAGAATCAGTAAGCCTTGCTGAAGATATTATTATTGTATTAAAAAATATCAAATTAAATTGTGATACTGAATTTCACAAGCATTGCCCCCGCAAATTTGCCATACAAATTTATTTTGATCCCCCCTCATGAAACATTCTCAATTACGCCACTGCGAATATTAAATGATATCGTTCATCATCGTCGACGACAATATCGGTGAAAATGAACACTCTTCATGAGCGTAGCGAGGATGGGATAGGAGAACACTTCCTCCCCTGCGCCTCAAACTGAATTCTATTTGTTTATACCAAATGTGTAAGTTTTACATTAAAATCAAAAATTAAATAAGATATAAGTCTAAAAATAGTTTAGTGGGACTGAGTGTTATCTACACGTGTAATCGTTTTGACGTTTTATATGTTATCCAATGGTCTATCTGTATATTATTTGAATTACGAGTTTAAGACTAATCGCTTTATGTTTTTGCCCCCCCCCCAATTCAAATTTTAGCTGCGCCCATGAGACTCTTGCATCACGACTAACATATTACGGCACGTAGTGATGTGTATTATAAGGGTCAGCAAAGTTGTTTCGCAACTTTCCATTGAGAGTCGTACCAATGATAAAAATAATTTTCTTTAATAGTATAATTCTAACATCTAATTCTAATAAAAATGTTGGCGAAAAAATAAAATAATTTAGAGAGATCCATTACTTGGTTGTTCTTGTTCGTTGATTTCGAATAAAACGAAATATTTTATATTTATACATATTTAATACCATTTTAGGAATAATATTAGAATATTAAATAATACGACAAGTAGTATTTGGTAATATTTGGTAAGTAGTAGTTGGAGTATTTGGCCTAGGGATGTAAAATTTAAAGAATGGTTAATTTATTATATTGAAAAAAACTATAAATATATTTGTTATATTTTGGTTTTTGTAATTTAGTTTTGATCGTGTATTAAAAATTATTATGGTTTTAGGTATATAACTTTTATTTTTATTTATTCATAAAATATTAAATATCATTACTAATAATATAATAGTATATATAATACTATTAATCATATTAATAATATTATATGCGTATGTCGTCGAAAAATCTTTTTAAACAATGTTATTTTTAAAAAAATGTAAAAATGTGTGTATTTTATTCATGATGTTGTTTGTAAACTTTATTTCAATAATTATTATTTAATAACATTTTTCTTATAATTTTATTTTCAATACGTTAAAGCAAATTTTCAATAATTCAAATTTGCCTTTTTTTTCGTAGTACGGAAAGACAGAAACAAGAAGGATCGGCAAATTATATCTGGGCTTATACGACACTTGCACTAAATCCAGCCCTGTATTTCATATACTGTCTTTTATACGTATTGAATTGTAAATTGTAATATTTACAATAATTACGAATATTGACGATTTTTACGTACCTAGTTGAAAAAATATGAATATATATATATATATATATATTATCGTAAGTTATACAAGTGTCCAGGGGTGTGACTACAAATTTTTTTCGGAGAGGGTTCAATATTTTTCTAGTACCACGTATTTCAAATGTATTTAATTCACAAGATAATAATTTTCAACTAACTAATTTTATAGTACTAGATAGGTCGACAAAGGATTATATAAGTAGCCCTGGAAAATATTTTTGATATTAAACTTAGATTGTTTTATATTAAATAATTTTTTTCTTTAATTTTAATAAAGTTTCTGGCGGGGGGAGGTTGAACACCCAAAACTCTCATTAAGCACACCCCTGTAAGTGTTCATTTGTGATTAGAAAGTAATTATACGAACATACGAGGAAAAGAATTAAAATGTTTAAACAGTTCGTTATAAAAATGTTGTTATTTTGTTTCTTTATTTAATCTTTTTATCAATGCATATTGAAATGTTATTTGTTTCAGGTACATAGTATACTCGTATTGGTATATCCTTAGATCATATATTAGTATATTATCTAATTTAATTTCAAAATAATACGTATATTTATAATATGTATTAAATAGTATGATAAATAGATATATATCTGATTATATATTTGATAAAATGTCATTATGTTTGTTAATATAAATGTATTAAAATGTTCGATTCTTAATAGGTTATGGAAACTTCAGATACATTTAACCTAGTTGATAAAAACTTTATTTAATCCTTATATAAAATCTTTTTATAAACTTTATATAAACCTATAAATTACAGTGATTTTTTTTTTTTTTGAATTATATAGTTACAAACATTTCATAACTCATAAAATAATTAGTAATAATAATAAATTTATTGAAAACAATTTTACGTACAAAACGGACTTACTAATTTGAATTGAAGACTTGATATTTTTAACTTAAAATTATTGTTAATAGTTATAACTTTATTTTTGCATAACAGCTATTGCTATTAGCAGTTAGAACTTACAAAATGTTGTACAATTTTCAATCCAATTTATTACAAACATTTTTCAGTAGAGCTCGTTTAGGTGGATATATAATTAATATTTAGTTAACTTTATACGTATCTGTGCAGTAGTTAATAATCCAATTGAGAAATAAATATTTATATTAACACGTAGTCACGAAGGTAAGTAGTAAGTAGTATACTAAGTACCTACTATATAATATTAAGTACAGAGAAAATTTACCTATTGAATCTAATATTTTAGAATAAGGTCACATGTGCCAAAACAAGAATAAAAATAATAAAAATTAAATCCACAAATATATTTAATAAGATATATTTACCTTTTCCAATTCGAACTCTCGTATTTTATATACGTTTCCTGCCTGTTTTAGTTTTCTCGACACACCACTTGATTTTCGTTCGAACTTAAAATGACTTTGTGACATGATTCACGTATATTTCACATATTATTGATTCGTTGCAGACCAATCGCGATGAAATTATTTAAATATAATAATTCATGTCAAATATTATGAATATTTGTTCAACAGAAATGATTCAACACTTTTAAGCTTGTATAATACGTTCGACAATGCAGTATATTTATGTCAGACTCTATTTTAAGAACAATTATTTCCCCTTCTTCAGTTTTTAAGTAACAAACAAAACTGCATCTCCAACTTTAACCTGATGAAAATGAAACAGTTATAAAAAACACAAAATTCGTCATAAAGAAAAATGTTTTATATTATCATGTGTAAAAAAATAAATGATCGTTTATGCAAGTGGAATTATTATAAATGTACTAATATATAATGTAATAATTAATAACATACCAATATTTATATAACGTAAATAATAATATATTCTATGATAAGCTAATACGTACATATATAATAGAATGCTCAAATGGGAAATTAAAAATAGTGGGTTTATTATTACTCAAAAAAAGGTTTTCATCCGGAATTTTTTATCTCCCAAAAAATGTGGCTCCACCCTATTACTTGTATGTATGGGTAAACTTCAATATTTGAAAAAATAATCGGACTATTTTTTTACCGTCAATTAAAATACTGAAAAATAAGCTTAAATGCACAATTTCTACATTACTGTTAACAAAATACTTATAATAACTTACATTACTGACAATTATATTTAATTGTTAGTACAACTATTGTCTATTTAATGATGAAATTCTGAAGTAATCAAATTAAGAAATTACATTTGTATTGAGCACATTTCATGAGGAATGATTCAATAATACAACAATGTGATAGTCACTTATTTTGGTATTTAGTGTTCAAAAATGAAATGTAGGTATTAATGTAAATTTTCATCCAAAAAAATTAAAGGTAATAACAGTTTCTCTTGAAAAAATATTATACTTTTAAACAACAAAACAAAAACTAAATGGAAAAATGTTTACAAAATATTAGCCTAAGTAGTTATCAACATTATAATATAATACATTTTCGGAACTTAGGAACAAAAAAAATTAGAAATTATAAAAAACAACCATAAAATGTAAACACAAAGTTCTCATGATCTCACAATATAGATGAGGGTGTCATAACTATTATATATTATTCATTAAAATGTCTTTTGTTCTGAAAAACTAAGTTATAATTTGAAAGTATATCTCCTCCCTCCTTTTAAAATTCAAAGCATGTCACTGATAGAAACAAGAATAATAACAAAAGTATCATCTTCCAAAATAATTATGCTTTAATTTCCATGCCTCGTAAAATTTCAAGTAAGTTTCAACAGTATCATTTCTCCCAGCAAGAGTTGGTAATAATTTTATATAATAAAAATCAATATTCAGTATTATTTATAACAGTAATTAATATGCATACATATGGTTTAATAAATTAAAAAATATAATTTCAATTTAAATTTTAAATTTATTATTTATTATAACTCAAATACTTAAAAAAATACAAGATTAAAACAGAAAATAGACCAATTAATAAATAAAATATATGTAATCATGAACTGATAAGGCACATAAGTCATATTACATTTTATGTTATTAACTTAATAACAAATTAATTTTCATAAATAAAATGTATTTTATACATTTTTATTATATTGTAAAATTAATTAAAAAATAAAAATCAATAAATATATATATATTTACATAATACTAATATAATTTAATAATTGTATAACATAATAGGCAACACCCATAATACCAGTTTTTTTTTTTAGATTTAGGTTATTTCCACTTAAGTAAAGCTTATATAATGTAAAAACACAACAGGTCATTTCTAATTAATATATGCATGAACATTAAATTAAAATCATATGAACATAAATAATTAAAAATAACATAGATTTATGATAGTTACATAATTGAAAATACAGTTATTTCAATAAAATACTCAAAGAAACATTTTTTCTGTATCAATATGAGAATTTATTCTTGAATATAATACAAGTTTAGTAACATAAAGTAATTAAAAATATATAATTAGTTTACCATATAGGAACTTTTCAATTAATAAATGAAAAAATAATTAAAACATACTTATTATGTTAAAAGTAACATAAATTCTTCCATAAGAGGTAAAAAATATTGCAGCTTGTTTAATTATGGTAAGTACATATTTCAATACTTAAATATTATAAATATAGTATTGCAAATTATAGAGATCAACCATAATGGTAAATAGAAGAAATGGATATGTTCAATATTTAATGTTTCACTATTACATCTTCAACATAATTTTCTTTATTTTTTTTATTTTCAACTCCTACAATATTTTTATTAACAACTTTTTCATTTTTTTTACAGTTTTCTTCTTTTTCATCATCAACTACTGTAGATGTCAAATCTCGCTTGTCTCTATTCAATTCCATTTTGGTTTTATTAGATTTGTTAGCTTCTTTCAATACTAAAGGGAAAGGGGGCAATTTATCTTTAACTACTCCTTCAGTTTTATTATTTTTTTCATCCAAAGAAGCAACATTTTTTTTATCTCCATCTTTATTATTTATTGCATTTAAGTCTTCTAAATGTTTCCTGGATTTCCTTTTATTTTTTTCAAATTGTACTTGGCGAGCATCTTTTAATTCTTCTAAAATTTGTTTTGATTCAGCTAATATTTTTTTCTCCTCATTTTCATGACTTTTTAATTTTTCAAGCAATTCAATTTCTGGTCTTTTTTCTAATTCTTCATCTTCTCTTTTGATTGCATCTTTACTTATAGAATTTCCATTATCGACTTTTACTGCTTTTTCTTGTTTTACAACATTAGATTTCATAACAGGTTCTACAGGGATAGGAGGTTCAATTCGTATTTCTTCAAATGGTTTTGACTTTGGTTTAATAACTTCAAGTTTATCTTCAGATTTTAAATCCAAAGACTCCACTTCTAAAACATTATTTTGTACAAAAGTATAAGAAATTTTTATATTAGTTTAAATAAATAAGATCATTTTTTTTTTATATAAAAGTTTAAAAAAAAAAAAAAAAATAGTATAAAATATTACTATTAATTTAAATGCTATTTGAAAGATAAAATATTATTATATCCAATATTAATTGATTAAAATCTAGTTTAAATTAAATCATTTGTAAATAATTATAAAATATACTAAATAATTATTTAGAAAATATAATATAATAAATTACACTCATATAATGTAGTATGAATCAAAAGCATAATTTAATAATAAATAATTATTTCAAATTATATTTGAATTATAATTTATTAGATAAGTATTACAAAAAACAAGTTGTTACTAAAAATAGATATATGATTTTCTAGATTTGATTATGAAAAAAATAAAGAAAATATATGTACTTACTATTATTGTTTAACTGTTGTTTATTTAATGTGTGAGCTATTAAATCAGCAGAAATAATATCTTTATTGACTTGTTTTGTAGTTGAAAGTGATTGTTGTATAGCATAAATATTAGCCAAAGTTCCCATTACCATAATAAAAATACCTACAAAAAAAATAAACTGAAAATAATAGAATTATAATTAATATAAATTGAATATGTTTATTATATACAGAAATATTTATTATTATATAATTTAAATATCCAGACTTTACATTCAAATTAATTTTAAGATCAATTCAAAATAAAACACATTATATATAATTATTATCTAACCTTAAGAAAAAACTAAATTTGAGTAATTTGATATTACCAAAAATTTAATGTAAAATAAAAATTATTTGGATGCAAAGCCTTTAGAAATATTTGTTAGTTATAAACTTACTCTTGCCCAAAATCTTTCTTTAAGATTTTTATTGGAAACTCGCACCAAAAACATGGAAGGAAACATTACATTAATCATGACTCCAATAGTAGATCCAATTAGTCCTAACACAACTTCAATATTAGGCATTATAAGGCCAGTTAATAAAGAAAATATTACAATGAAAAATGTGATGCATTTAAAAGGAGTTTCAGCAATATGTTGTCTTCCTCCTGATACAAGAACATAGTCCTAATAAAAAAATAATTGAAATTATATTTATTTAAATAAACATTTTTACTTAGATTAATTTAAATATAAATTAAATTAATACTCACTTTTGTAGCAATAAGGGAATATATTGATGAACGACATGGAAATATTACCAAAGGAAAACTGACAGCAATAGACATCACAAAGCCCATTTTTATTATATCACTGGATAAACATTGTGAAAAGCTAGTGAGAATATTCCCTAAAGATATTATAACAAATTTTTTGTAAAATATTTATTAAAATTCAACATTTAATCTGTTAAATATATATTTTAATATATAATCAAATAAATTATTTTGTATTATTTAATAATAACAATTTTAAAATAATTTTTTTTAATATATTATGTATAAACATTATTAAAATATAATGATATTTATTAATAATATGAATATTACATAATTAATCATACTATACAAATACTTAGAATTTGTACAATTGATTCAATAATCCTTATATGTATAAAATAACAGGTCTCTTTTAAGTTCTAATTTTTTATGACACTATTTAACATTTCTTTAACTTTTTCACAGAGTTGTATATTAAATATTCTCATAAGTGCAATCACTTCACCTGATATTTTTTTTTATTTATCGGAGAGGAGGGAGAGGGGAATTGGAAAATGTTTGATTATGTCGTCACAAAATCAGAATATAAAAAAAGGTCTCCTCTTATATATAATGTTAGGTCTCGATAATCCGAACACAGGCTAATCCTAACAAGCTTGAGAAATATTGCATCGCTATATTAATACATATTTATATGTATCATGATAATAGTAAATATATATTTTATATAATAAGATTCATATTATGTAATAAATATTATATTAACTGGTTGTACATACACACAATACCATAACTAGAAATTTTTTTCGGGAAGGATTCAAAACATGTATATTGTAATTTTATTGAATATTGATTTGAACTTTTGATATTTGATTAAAAATAAGACAGAAAATGATTTAATCTTCTTTTATTAAAATTAATACCATATTTTTATATGATATTATGATATAACATTAAAAGCAGTCAATGATTAATTGGAGCTTAAGTCATTTTTGACTGAAAATATTTATGTTGGTATTAAAAATAGATAAGTATTTTAAACTTTCGTAAAATATTGAAGACATTTCGGGGAGGGGGTCCAGACACCCTAGACTCCCCCCAGATACGGCCTTGCATACACACATATATTATTATAATATATTTTGTATACATTGCCTTTTTAAATTACAAGTTTTTACATGATAATACAGTTAAAACTAAATTTCAAAACTTAAACTATAATAAAATTAATGTTTTTATTAAGCCATAATTAATCCGAACGATAAATCGCCTCCTCGGCCCTTGATAGTGTCATATAAATTAACTGAATACAAAATGTAATATTAAATTTTAATGGTAAAATACCAATCATTTACTATTAGAACATAAAAATTTGGATGAATTGAGCACAGTTAACTAAAAATATTTAATAATTATAATGTAACAACAATAATAGGTCCAGTTGACTCCCCCGGATCCCTCAATACCCAGTCAGCCCCTAAATGTAAACACAGAACAATAGAGTAATATATTTCTAATAAAACAAATAAATGATGAATAACTTTATAAAAATATATTTGTCTAAAATACTTTTGGCTACACTGAAAATTAATATATTACTATCAAAATATCACATGAATACCTTATCACTATCGTATTTTGATAAGAGTAAAAAATATTAAATATGTTCCCATATTTGCTGATGTACACAATAACATTACATTAATAGAGTAATTTGATTACAAGATATTACCACTTTATCGAAGTAAGCAAAAATTAAATCAATCAATAAAGCATTTAAATTTGGTAACTATAATAATATTTGATGTATTTTTTTTTTTAACTAGGAAAGAGTTAAATATTGAAATGATAGCAATCAATATTTTAAAATTGTAGGTAATAAGCAACTGTACAACAACACAACAATATGACAACAATTGAAAATAAAAAACAAGAATTCAATATTGATATAAATCATAATCGAGTAAATTATTTATATCAATTAAGTACTGCTCTGGCTGATCAATGTCCTGGTTTATCATCAACATATAATTCTATATTAAAAGGATTTACTCAAAAAAGTTTATTGAAAATTGATCCAGAAATAAAAAGAAATATCTGCAAAGGATGTAATACAATGCTAATACCAGGAAAAACAGTAACATGTCGAACAGTTAAAAAGTCTAAAGGTGCGATAAAATGGTCTTGCAAGTTTTGTGGGAAGTCAAAAATATATAGAAAAAACAATAACAATTGTATGTGGTCAGAAAATTCCGAGTATTTATTACAAACTATTGTATACATTTAATAAAATAAAATACATTTTTACCTGTTAATGTTGAATCATGGTATGCAATATATCCAAGAATCCCAACACTGATGTAAACAGTAGTGCACATGTTCATTGATGAACGAATTATTGCATTTAATTTATCTAATGATTCATTTGATATTGACTCGAATATATCAAATAATTGTCTACAAATAATACAATTTTATAATTATATGTAATTATGTACATAATAATTGCATTCATTAAGAATTTTTAAATTGTAAAAAAAAAGTAATTTTTTATAGATTCCTGATCAATTACAGGGTTAAAACGTATAATACGGTATAGTATAAAACAAGTAGTTTTATAAGTTTTATACTGAATAAAAATAAAATCTCTTATAAACAAAAAAGCATTTATAATTTAAACACAATAAAATAAGAAAATATAAATTATAAATAAACAATTGTGGTGCTATTAATCTATTGTTAATAATTATAATTATTTTATCACTGGCATATTTATAGTAAATTCATTGTACTTGGGATATTTGTAACACTTTTAATATTTTATAATAATAGATTATAAACGAAAAACTGAAGTAGATATATCATATAAAATAGTAGTAAAATATATTTTTACAAAGTATAAAATTTAAAAACCTTACTTAATCTGAAATAGGAATTATATTTAATTTTTAAGAGTGAATTTCAAAAACAAACCGAATTATACGTTTTATATGTAGGATATTATACGTGTAACGTATAAAACGTTTTAAACGCGTATATTACCAACCCTGATATAATGTTGATGTGTGGGAATAAAATGTAACAATTATTTATTTTTTTCAAATAAATTTAAATAGTTAGTAATCATTTTTATATAATTTATACCAGATTTGCATTAGAATTGTATTAAATGAAATATTTAACATAGAGTAAAAAAAAAATTTATAATATTACATTGATTTTAAATATTAAAAAACGATGAGTTACATCTACAACTTTAAAAAGATAAAATTTTGAAAACAAAAAAAAAGATACAGAATACATTGAAAAGTTAGGGGGAGGTTATGGTTATGACAACAATAATTTAATAAAAAGTTATTAAATTATAGAAACATTCAATAGTTGTGACTTTGTTACAGGCTTGCATATTATGAGTTAAAAACAATACATACATTATAGTCAGTAAGTAATCTAAATAACAATACATACATAAAGAGCTATTTCAGTCATTATGTTATAATTAAAAAAAGTATTAAACGATTTTCATTTATAAGTTATTTTAATATTAAAGAATCTCAATTATGGACGAAATAATAAGTGTTATATTATTATTATTTATTTGGTTTTATAATCCAATAATGTCATATGTAAAATAAAAATAAAATTTATTTGGGGGGGGGGGCATAAATTATATGCATAAGGTGCCAAATTTTTAAATACGGGCCTGTTGCTAGTTAATTGTAATTGAAAACTTACGTTTGACAAAATAAAGACATTGAAAATATTGGTAAGCATTGGAGAAGTCCAGCTGGTTGCCAAAAATATATTTCAGAAAACCAAACAGAAGTAAAAAGTTTATCAAAAGCTTCAATAAAAATCTGAAATCATTAAAATAATTAATTAACAATTATTATAAATAATTAAAAAATATTATTAATAGAATATAAAAATATACCTTGAATACTAAACAAGCATAAAATATTATTGCTGCAGTACAAATTGTATTTAAGCTATTAACATCACGTAACAATCCCAATGGCAACACTACAAATGCAGCTAAACCTATAAAAATAAAATATTATTTAAAATAATAATTTAGAAATAGAGCTTTTTACCAAAATTCATATAAAGGTAATACCTTGATATAATTATATAAAATGCCAATTTAATTAAAAATATTTAATAACAAAACATTAAATTAATTCAAATAAAATACTAAATTTCTTAATATAATTACCAATCATAATACTTGGGCGAAGAGCAGTTGTATTTTTTATGTTAAACGTATCACCAATAATTTGAGGTCCTAAATCACCCATAACAACAAAAAAGGCTATACATGTTCCCATAAGAAACATTATTATGCATAATTCTACAGTGACTTTCCCCAATTTTCCAAATAAATGAAATGCTAGGAAAAATATATAATTATTAAACTCAATGAAATAAGTTGTTTAATTATACAAAAATACCTACTTACCCAAAAATTCAAAATCGCGTGTTCTCGATTTAATAGCAGATTTTAATAAAAAATAACAAGAGGCTCTGGACATTAAATTGCTCAAAACCAATAATATAGTTGATAACACTATTCCACACTACATTCATACATTAATAAAATGATAATTATATTGTTGATTTTACATTAACATAGTTCATAAAAAAATTATAAAATGTATTTTACCTCTTTATAACAAAATGGCATAGCTAAAATACTAACACCAATAATGCTGTTGGCTAATGTCATTACATGAGCTCTCATTTTAAAAATGTACTTCTTTTTTATCTATCGTAAAATAATTTAATCATAATAAATATAAAAATTTTAATTATTAAATATTAAAACTTTAAAGTAATATGTGTAAAATTCATCATCACAAAATATTTCTTTTCAATTCAATAACTAATTGGTGATAGTTTTTAGTACTAATACGCCTCATAACGAAATGAGAAATTTGATTTAGCTATTTACATGAATATTATATTGTTTGATGATTAAAATATTGTTGAATAGATTTTTAAAACTGCCAAGTATTAAATGTTTACATGGACATTTTGCGTGTATATGAACTCAGTAACACGTAAGGTTATGATAATACACTTTGGTAACCCCTGAATACCACATCAACGATGATAAGAAAATAAATATGATCAAGTTGAAAAATCTTGTTTTGTGAAAGTATCTTAATAATTTTAAATTTGAGTGTAAAGTAATTTGTAACTTTGTGCTTTTATAAATTTCTGAACATGGGAGATTCTGTCCAAACAGTAGCGTTTAAGATAACACTGACATCGGATCCAAAGCTACCATTTAAAATACTCAAAGTGCCAGAGGGAGCTCCATTTACTGCAGTTTTAAAATTTGCAGCTGAAGAGTTCAAAGTAACAGCTGAAACATCCGCAATCATCACAAATGATGGAATTGGTATAAATCCACAGCAAACAGCCGGTGTTGTATTTCTCAAACATGGATCAGAGCTTAGGCTCATACCAAGAGACAGGGTTGGATCAGTATAATGTTTATAGAGTAATATTGAGTTTCTCAAATAATTTGTTTGTACATTTTATTTTTATAATGTATTACCATCTAATATATTGTTCATAAATCCAAGCCATTCCAATTACATAAAATGTTTTTGTTCAAGCAATTCTCAAAAGGCATCCAGAAGTTGTATTTATTCTAAATGTTATATTATTTGATTAAAATGTATTTAATAATAAAATTGTGTTCATATTACATTACTATATCATTGGATCCTTTGATATCATGTAAAAAGTATTTAAAACCAAGTTCATTTATTTTTGATACTTTAGCACATCTAGCTTCCAAGTCCTAAAACAATAAATACAATATATATTACATAATTAGATAAAAATAAATATTAATGCCTATATTGGGAATGAGGTTTGAAGTTCCTTTAAACAAAGGAACACAAAACTATTATAACTTATATAATATTACTTACATACTTATATGATAATATCACTAGTTAAATCGATAGAAATTAAGTAATAGAAGATTATTGTAAATACAATTAAAAAACTTATCACATCTCAATTTGGAAATTATTATGATAAAAATATCTTCAGATAAAAATTACTTAAAATACTACTTTCGAAATTTGCACAATGGTAAAATAATTTATTTTGTTTCATGCTGTAATAAAGATATAAAATTTAGTACTATCAAAATTATAAATAACTAAACAACTTTGTTGATGTAAATATAAAAAATAATAATGGGATAAGATTTCACGAAAAGAAAGAAAATTGAAAAATAATATTTCAAAAACAGATAAAAATCAATAAAAAAATGGAGAATATCATAATGTACATATATATGATGAATATTGAATTAATTATTTACTTAATTTTATTTTAATTCAAATAAACATGAAAAACTAAATTATTATTTTTCTAATAAATAATAATAACTTACACTTTCTAATATCTCCTGAAACTTTCGACGTTTTATAATTTGAATAATATATTTTCGACCTTCAATATAACGCTTAATAAAATTTCCAGATGATGGAAAAGATATCCAATAACTTTCTTGATTTCTAATTAATAAAAGTCCGCAATTAATTAATTCTCTGAAAAAATCAAACATTTTTGGTTTATTGATTTATACAAATTCACAGACTAATTTATTTAAAACATTAATTTACGTCAGTTCATATTGTTGAAGTTTAAACTTTTGTTTTAATACACATTTTTCAACTCCAAATGATTTAATTGAAGGCAAAATAGAATTTAAAAATTTGGTAATACAAGGTTTATCAGGATAAACATTTAAAATGTACTTAACATAATCTTCATATAGTATAAAAGCCGAAGAAAAATCACAGGTTCCAATTGTAAGTTTTTGTATTTTACACTGTTTTTGTAATATTTCCTATGAAATAAAACTTCATGTTAAAAGTTTGTTCTAAAAAAATAATTGAAATTATTATTACTAACCAATTCTCTATTGATTAATGTTTTATTATGTATAATATCATAGATTTGATTAATAAACACAATAGGTGGGTACTTCAATGTGTCCTTTACATTTACGGGCAACAGTGATTTTATATATTTTATAGCTGCTTCTGTATCATTTGGTAAATCAGTGGCCACTATAGTGTTGTCATCAAGAATTGCTTTGAAAATAATATTATAATTAAACATAATTATTTATTAATTATCAGTAACAACTTTATTTATATAATCATTATAAAATACATTAAAAAATTATACAGATTGATTTATTTTTAGTTAAATCGAGGGACATTAAAAGAAATCAAATGAATAAACGTAATAAGGATATTATATATAACATAAATTGTTTTGAATGTTTTTGATTTATTTTACAAAATTGAATTGTTGATATACCTGAATCTGATGAAGACATAATCAGTTTAAAATACCTAATGAAATTATGTACAAAATATATAAAAAGTAAATTTAGTTTTTTATTAAAATACAAATTTTTTATATATGAAGATCATGATTATTATTACAAATCAAATAACTTAATTTTCAAAACAAACTAAGAATAATAAATTACATGAAGAAAATTTGTAGTGATAATAAAGAAGTGATAAGGATTGTATTATAATTTGAATTAAATTAGTACAAAAAATAACATGTGTTAATGATTTATTGTTAAAAAAAAAAAATGAGTAGTGATGCACTCGGGGCCTCCACAAGTGGGGGACTGATGGATCTAGAGTACAGGGGTCCAGCTATTTTAAGGGCCCGTCAGCCCCTTGAAATTTTAGTAGAAATACTTATTTTATATTAAATAACATTGTAAAATAACATTTTATATATTTATTTTGATAGTTCAAAATGCGGATTAACCAATGATTACCTAGAAATTATCTTGGTTGCAGTTTGAGTCTTCCTTATCGCTTATAAGCGATATTAAATTATTATTACCTTGAATTGCCTAATGAAGAATTGGAATTAAAAACAAAATCACTTGTACAAAAATACAAATCTGATTTATCTGAAAATATGTGTCAAGAAATGTTACATCTGAAAACTATATATTCTTCAACATTTCAAAAAAACAATGTAATGCCACCCACTCGTACTATTAAATTCCATTTACGCAAAAAATGTACAAACAATTATGTATTAGTCTCGGATTATTTTTTACTATTCTGGTGACTGTAGCTGTAGCAGAAAGATCTTTCAGTAACTTGGGAAATTCACTGAAGACGTGGCAAAGATCCACAACTAATCAAGAACGATTAAACTCACTTGCTCTTTTATCTATGGAAAATAAATTGGCTTCGGCAATCAATTTTGACGATATCATTACCGAGTTCGTTGAGCTCAGAGTCCACAAAATAAAATTTTTACTTAAAAAAAATATTTTAAATTAAATAAAAATATACTTGTTTTTTTTTAATTTAAATAATATTGTAATGAAAAAATAAAAAAGACATTATTAATGTTAAAATGCTTATGAATATTGAATTCGAATTGGTATAATGAAAAAACAAATATTATTCCTAAAATTGTTATATATGTATATTAAATTGTATTTTTGGAAGTTTTATAAAGGGTTCGGACAAACATTTAGTATAGGGGCCCGTTATTGTATGTGGGGGCCCTGGATGCACTGGGTGATGAGGAAGACGAGCGTATATTGACTCCGCGAAAAAGTCTTTTTACTTGTAAAAAACCTATCAATTGCGCCGAATATATTTATATATCGATTCCGCCAAAAATATATACTCATGTAACATCACTATATATACATTATATATAATATACAGTGTCATCACGATAAGTGGAAACACTCAATAACTTTATGCAGGCTTCATATATTTCAATTCTGCTTTTTTGGCTTACAAATAATTATTATTATACACATTTTCTGATAATTAGACTATTTATGTCACAATCAATTTTGCACATGCGCACAAAAACTTTTTTTTTTTAAATGACATGACCTATTTTTGACCACAAATTATTTTTTTTAATGAATTTTAGTGGTTGAATTTCTTTTCTAAATTAAAAATTGGCCGAGTTATAGCAACTTGATTTTATGTTATTTGCACGGGTATAACAGATTATAAAATACATAATTAATAATAATAAATACGTAATAATAAAAATAAAAATAACTACCTAATTCAATTTATGAAATAGGTACCTGTTTACCTATTTTCAAAATTATCTCAGTAATTGTATTAAAATAATAGTTAATCGGACAACGAAGAGCATAAGTTTCTTGAGTATGATGTATATTCTTTTGGCATTCCCAATATGTATAAAGCATGTCAATTTTTTCTGAATTATTATCCATAATAACTATTTTGATGAGACAACAAATGCAAGTTATACGTTGCCTCTTTGCAATATAGATGTTTTTTCATCAAATAATTATTTATCTTAACCTATTAGGAACTTTACATGTATTCATAGCAAAGCGTAACCTAATATTTAAATGCCTCAAATTTTTTTTTTATGGAATAAAAGTGGCCAATAATAACTAGTAGGACTGTAGCAATTATTAATCAGTTATCAAATACTTCATGAAATATAAAATTAATTAAAAAAAATATAGTTTTTAAAAATAAATAATGATTATTATGGATGGGTAATTAAATTTATAGACTATATTAATGTATTTATATAATATATTAATATTAAAAACATTAAATGTGATTTATAATGTATAGTTTTAAATAGTTTAGTATTCTACTATAATTAGGTTATAAAATTAACTTAACTCCTTTAAAATATTTTCCTGGTTACATACTTGATCAATGGGAATGTTGAGAAGGTAAGAAACAGTACTACTCTTAGCTGTTTTCATAAAAAATAAAAAATGTACATTTTCTATCAAACCCATATCATGTTATAAATCATACTTATAAATAATATTTATAAACAAAATTAAAATAAGATCTCAAGTATTTTAATTCTAATTGTTCTAGATTAAGATTTAGTAAAGAAGTTTATAGTTATAAAATTCACAAAAACTTAAGTTTTAAATATTATATTGTTATCTTAATTAAGGCAATCATAATTTGTATGATACAAGTAAAATCTTACATGGAAAACTTAAAATTAAGATATTGTATATGTAAATAAAGAGAGAGTGACTACAATAATTGGTAAAAAAATTAATGTTGCATAGTTCTTCAGCTGTATTGATATTTTTGTTGTCGATTTTCCATTCTGCTTCATCTAAATTTTTTTTTATAAAATTAAAACATTGTGTTTAAATAAATAATTAAATAGTTTTTATACTTTTAAAAGGCTTAACCTCGATTAACTTTTGGAAAAAATTTAAAACACGCATTGAAATCATTACAAAATATTTATAAATCTATTGCATTGTCTATCATTTTTGTTTAATAATATTTACAAATTATATTTAAATACTATACATATGTAAAAATTATAAATTTTAAAATGTTATATAGATATTGTCTCGTATTTTGATTAAACATTTTCTGACAGATATTTTTATACAGACACAAATATTTGGAAAACAGGAAATATTTTTGTGTTGACAAATATACAATTTAAATAAATAATGCTACAAAAAAAAACAAATTTTTGTTAACAATAATAATAATAATCATAAAATACAGTGTGTCCTATCTTAAATATACCATTAAATATCTCAGTCTGATAATCTAAGATTGAAATATGGTTTGCTGCAATAGCTAGAGGCTACTGAAGTACACAATATTGGAAAATTTCAAATTTTTAACTTTTGTAGAGTTATTTTCAACTCTATTGCATGCGCAATACAAATGCTTTTTTTTTTTTTTAATAGCAACATTTATGTTTGTCATTGTGGTCCATTACAATTTGTTAAAAATGAAACAAAATATAAAAAAAATGTAAAAAATAATTATAAAATAAATTTTTTTTTAAAAAACAATAATTTGATTTTTGATCATTTTTAAATAGAAATTTCACGATATAACCTGAGGGACTTGAAAAATTGTACTGATCAAATTAATATTTAATTAACCTACAGTGTGTACCTTGATCTGTAATCTTTTCAGTAATATTTAAAAACAAATTCAACATGTACATTATATACCAACTATGTGTAACAAAAAATATTATTAGAATAATATTGATATTATTCGTACTTTAATGTTTTGTAGCCCGCTCTAAGATAATTGTAAACCAAAATGGCCCACCGAGGAAAAAAGGTTGGACATCACTGGGATGGATAATTTTATTTTAATGGTAAAACGAAAATTTTTAATAATAAAAATTACTTTATTCGGTTATTGTAGCAACCCATTATTAATTAGCTGCTTCACATGCATCAACCCAATCATTGTAAATATCTACTGGTTCTGACAAAAAGCTGGTGGTCGTTTGAAATGATTCCAGGCAAACTCGACAGTAAACTTTGCCGACATTTCGACTTTTGTCCCTGTATTTTCAAAACAGAAACATGGAAATAATTACCGAGGTATTAAATACATACAGTCCCATACATATGCAACCTGGGAGTCTAAGGGTGGCATCGAAGGCTAGACGATTAGATCACGACGAGGGTATGGAATCCGATACGTTATGAGAAATTTGCTTCGGGTGACCGACTTACATTTTTACTTCACAAGACTTCTCGTGGTTACAAAACGGACAGTTGAATTGCGTGTCCAGAGGTTCAATGGCTTTCCTCTTGGCTGGCGGCTTTCTTTTACTTTTCCTCCGTCCCATTTCTAGTACGTTACGTTGAGCACGGTGGTTGGAACGTTACCGTCGACGTGACGTTCTGCTGATTTATTAAGTTGTTTTTCGTCGGTCGTGAATAGCCGGGAAACGGGAACGGGACCGCAATATCAAAGATAAGATCATAAACATAGGATCGTATATAATCGAGTTCCGCCGGCTGATAAAGTGTGAAGGCAGTGTGACCAACACGCTGATACAAAAGTGTTATTTCATTGTTTTTTACCCACAAAGTATTTTTAAGGAGTCCCGAGTCCGTTGTTATATAAACTGTGTACATTTTGAAATTACGAGATTTTTTTAATGCACATTTCCGTGTGTGAGCGCCACCGCTGATTTCATTTAATTTTTTTTTCTAAATGCTTTTCATCGGATCCCGTAATGCATCTATTTTGAAAAATGTTGTGCTTTGTTCTTGACGGTGTTACAGTCAAACATACATCAAACTAAAAAATTGTAATAAGCCGCTATGCCACAATGGTTCAATTAACAATTAATTATTTGTAACGGATGCAGCTTAGCTCCCAAGTTATTTTTAGCAATTTAATTTTTCAAATAATGTGTTTTTACATGATACTTTTAAAAAAAATTCGGTTGAACTTCCTTTATAAGTTACAGTTAAAAAACATATCGCCAAATCAGATTTACAAATTACACGTGTGTAACATGCAAATTATGTAATTATATTTATTATATATGTACATATATAATTAATACTAATACACATATACCAATCTACTTGCTGTGCAACGTGTAGACATTTCGGTTTGATAATTGTCAAATTGTACTTACATTAACACAACAATCACGTTGTTACGTTCAACATACCTAAAGAACATGGTATATTTTTTTCATAATTTTAGAAACAATAGATTGAGGTTAATTTTTGAAAAAACGTTCAAATCTGTCCGGAGTTACCCCATTTTACGGTACATGCAAAAACACACAAACTGAAAAAAAATTGCTAAAAATAGCGTTGGAACTAAACTACATTTATACCAAATTATTTTAGTAGATTTTTATGAAAAATTGTGTTATCTGGTTGGTTAGTACTGATAAAAAGATCAGTACTTCTGAGGTAGCAATTATTTTGAATTCCATTGATAATTACCAATTACTCTGAGTTTTTCTCATAATATTTAGTATACAATTTTACAAACAATATCATTTACATGGTTATTATGAGAGGTGTATTGGTACGTATACTCGTCTTCAGATTTTCGATTTTTGGCGTATACCTAAAGTATAATATTATTTTGCGAGTATACGCTCTTAATATAACTCGTAAACCAAATAAAACTTAGTTACTAGTACATTGGAAAAAATTGTTATAACCTATGAAGTTTTAATGAAATATTCTTATGTTGAAGATTACAGTGTACAGTTTACAATTTAATTACAGTTTAATGTATTTTAAGTTAAATTTAGTAAATAATATTTTGAAAAATAAATTGTATTAATTAAATATAATATAGAGTATAGACTTTCAGCTCATGGTTCATAAATCTGCACCAAACAATATACATATAATGCGCGGCATATGTATATCTTGTGGTATTATATTTTATAGTTTCATTACAAAGAGAAAGAACTCCGAGGTTGGGCATCAGTTTATCGATGGCTAGTGGTTTTGCGTGAGGCCTTCATAATGTGTTCTGTGAATAACGGCCTCGTGTTCAGCTGGATTCCGAGGTACCGCATTGAAGGCGTGACCGGAATGGAGTGTCCCTGTAGGTAGAGTTCTGGACGATTGTAGACATTCTTTCGGGTCAGCACTACCACTTCAGACTTGTGTAGGGCCAATTTGAGTCCATTAGATCGTATTAGGTCGATCCCCCCCCTTTGTACCAACACTATGTAAGTGTATAATATATACTTAATCTATACAAAAATTGTATTAGTATAAATTATAACATTAAATTTAGATAATTTTAATATTTCTTTAACTTAATTATTCAAAAAAAAAATATATATATATATATGTATATTTATATATTAGGGTACTTCTTCTTTATAGATAAAATTATTTTTTTACAAATTTTGAAATGTGCCACCTTACAATTTTGTTTAATTGTATAAAATAATAATAAGTTGAAAATTTGATTTAATTACCTCAACTCTAAGACATGCTTCAAGAAAGTTGAAATTTCTCTCAGGAGGGTGGATTTTCGTAAATTCCTCATACCACAATAATTATTGCAAGTTATTAAAAAATGCACGTAACAAATATTTTTCTCTTCTGTTATTATTGTTATTATTATTACCTATTACTTTGTAGGTATTAAGCCATCCTGGTTTTACTATTTAATCAAATTAAGTAGGTAAGTATTGTAGATTATCGTTGGTGTTACACTTTATTATAAACAAAATTATCATTGGGATTTGTCAATTAACTATTAGCGTTTTCTCTTCCACACATTATTAAATAACACGTTATAGCGATAAAGCTTGTTTATGATTGTATGTATTTAGTTGTTACGTCGGTCGTTGATCACGATATCGCTATTGTGTTATTTTGTTCATTTTTATTGTTTTTATGTTAGTTGAATGTATTTATTCATTTATATATTTTCCGTTTTTTTTTTTTTTAATTAATATTAAAGTGTTGTAATAATATGACGGACAAAATTAATTTGTGTGAAGAGATTTATTTAATTAAACATACTACACATAAGCTTTTTGGTTGTAAATTACCTTAAAATAAACAAGTTCTAAAGGTTTTATTTCATAATATGCGTGTAGTCAAATTGAGTCTACGAGATAGTGCTTGATTAGTCATAGAAGAGGTTATAATATTTTGGCAAAAAGCTGGTATTCCGAACAGAGAAGTACGTCATTGTATACCAAAATTAGAAGCGATGTACAACGAATGGCGAAATTTGCAAAGAAATGCATCCAGGCGAATTGATACACAAATAAAAAAAAGAAAATATCTTTATTGATAAGTTCTAGGACCTTTTTGACATAGTACACTCTGATGCTACGAATGAGTAACGAAAGAGATAAACAATTTTTAAATTGTCAACGTTAAAAAGGTCGTCCAGGATCATTAATTGGAACTATTAATTGGACTATCTCGTAGACTCAATTTGACTACACGCATATTATGAAATAAAACCTTTAGAACTTGTTTATTTTAAGGTAATTTACAACCAAAAAGCTGATGTGTAGTATGTTAATTAAATAAATCTTTTCACGCAAATTAATTTTATCCGTCATACTATTACAACACTTTAATATTAATTAAAAAAAAAAAAAATGTATTTATAAAGAAGAACCACCCTAATATATATATATATATATATATATATAGATAATAAAATAATAGTACAAAATTAAAGGTTTTTAAAATCTAAAATTTGAATTTAAAGTTTTATAAAATAATATACATAATATATAACTTTTTCATTTGGTATTAAATTATTTGCGACTCTCTAATAAAAGTTGGCGATTCCCTTAAGGGTTGTAACCCCCAGCTCACGTACTACTGCCCTAGTGGTCTTATTTATTGTTCAATATTACATTAAAAATATTGTAGTATTTTATTTTTTTATTTTTATTTTATTTAAAAATATTATATTTATATTATTGCAAGTATTCTCGAGTTAAATACTGTAATTTTACTGATCGTAAAAAATAAAGTAAATTATTTTAAATGTTCTTAGTTGAAATATTTTAATATTTAGATAACTCGAAAATAAATGTAAAATTGGTGACCTATTAGAAACACTATGGGTATTTTTCTAAAACACTTCAGTCCATTTACGCTTCTTATAAACTTATAAGTATTATTATTGTATTTTAATACGCATTGTATATTAAGTCTAAAGGCAACGAGTTACAGTTTTTATACATTTTTCATCAAATTTTACACTTAAAAACCGAATCATATATAAAACTGAATTTTTTTCAATATTATTTTAATAAGTTAGATTCAGGGAAAAAACTGAGTGGTTTATGTCCATAAGAAAACGTGTACAATTAAATTCTAGCAAAAAAATGTAAAAAAAAACTACAAGTGTCTTTTAATAGAACGCCCACGACATAAATAATATTTGCTTAATATCTTTTTTATGTGCAACCATTTGTATAGTGTAGCAGCTAGTAGCAACTAGTACAGTGTATATAACAATTAAAGATGTATGTTTTTCAATCCAAAATACATTTATTGAGGGTTCGAATTAAAATTAAAATTTTTTCATATCACACTGAGTAGGTATAACAGATATTTGGGGCTTTTTTATTTCCTCATAATAAATTGTTATCGAGACCTATTAATAAAAAACGCACTCCATCGTAGACTCTATAACTCTCTCGTTTTACTAGGAATTTTAAAACCATTTTATTATTATAAATAGTATGTTATTTATTATGTAAATATGCGTTGAGTGAAGCGCGAGCAACTCGCATATGACGTACATATTCGTATGTACACGTGAAATAACCAAACCCGGGTCGTCTATACAGCGCCCAACCGGTCCGATGTACGTCACGTAGTTATTTAAATATATTTCATGTAAAGTCAAAATATTTTTTTTTCTCTTATGTAAATCACTCCTAACTTTTTCATTTTAGTTTTCACTGGAATAAATTAATGTTGAAATAAAAAAAATAAAAATATTTCCGTTAGTTGTTCGTCTGAGAAGCGCTTAAACGTCGCCATCTCATCAAATTATATTGTATTGTGTTAAAATGAGTTCGAAATCTTAATCAGCGGTCAATACGAAACAGTTTAATGAGAGTTTTTCTGAACATCAGTCGAATCTGTCATAACTAAGGCAATATAGAAGTGGCTGGATGATGTGTTGAATGACATCACAGTTGTATACACGTAAACGGAGTATAACTGCATTTACCATCACTCCGTATTTCATCTGTCAAAAAACAATTTGGTTGAAAAAATTTGATGCAGTGTATTAGTGGGTATAATATTTTGTGACATTAATAAACAATATATTTGTTATCTTTATTTTAATAATTAAAATTAATTATTAATGTTAATTGAGTTTTTGTAAAGAAACATTACGATACAACAGATTTATTTATTACACTTTACACACTTGTATAAAATAGGTAATTTTTTTTTTTTACAAATTTTAAATTAGTTTAATAATTTTTA